TACCAAAGGAGAGGGGATCTTGGGCACGCTCCATGACCTGCGCCCCCTGCCCTTGCTCTGAGGACGCTCCTTCCGCCTCAGGGAACGTAGCTTCTTTCTTCACGGATGGTGCCCACATCTGAAACAGCAGGGAGGGAGAGGGGTAAGAGGTGGAATGGGAAAGAGGCCAAGGAATGGATCCTGCCCCACTCCCAGACTCTGCACCCCCTTGCATCAGCAGACCTGGTGAGTTATCTGGAGGGATCAGAAATTCTCCAGTGGTGTGGTGGACTTGTGAGAAAGCAGTTGACTTTTGGACTAAAGTCCACAGGGAAATGCAAAAAATTCTGAAATGCTCTTTTAAAAAGGCACCGGAAATTCTGCTTTTGGGATTGAAAATGGAAGAAGTCAATACAACTAAAAAGACCTTATTCTGGTACTTAATCACAACAGCGAGAATGATTTATGCACAATTTTGGAAAACAGAGAAAGTGCCAGAAATTGAAGACTGGATACAAAAAGTTCTGTTCATGGCAGAGATGGACAAAATTACGAAGAAGCTGAACAATAAAGAAGATGACGTGTTTTTTCAAGAATGGAGTGACTTTAAAGTGTATTTGGAAAAGAACTGGGATGTGAAACAAAACTTGATATGTTTAGATCAATATTAAGTTAAATGATGTTATCTTTAGATTGTAATGATAAGAAATTGATATAGTTGATGATACGAAGTAATTTGGAGCAGGGGTGGAAGCATTGCGGGAAGCCATTGGAGGGAAGGGAGGAATTGGGAATGGGGTAGACAATTGATAGAATGAAATGTTTTAACTGTATACGTTGTATTCCTGAGAAAAATAAAATTTGTTTACCAAAAAAAAAACCAAACAAATAAATACAAAGGCGTGGAGCTAAGTCTTGCTTCCATTTGCACCCTCCCCTGTCCATTACAGAGGCAGTTCTCTACACAGCACTTTGCTCTGGTGCAAGCGATACTGATTCCTTCCCCCTACATTTGCTTTTGTATCCCTTCCTGCTTAAAGACTTTGTTTAAAAAGATACTGTTGATGGTATCAGCAACTTTTTTTTGTATCATAATCAGTCACCGCATGCCAGCTAAAGACCAGAGTTTCATAGCATTGGTCATAGGAGCGGCAACCCATTTTGCTGAACCAGTCCTTGGTTTCCCCGGATATTTGTGCAAATTGATAGAAAATGTGTGTGTGTGTCCTCTCTCTTTCACTCTCATTTGATGTGTTCTCTTTGTAGATATGGCGACATGAGGAAGGACATTGGCTTCAAAATAAGAGATATGTGGTATAACCTAGGTAAGCATCAGGCACCTGGTGAAGACTTGGGGTAGCCGTTACAGTCCTTTACATGGCTTGCATATTCTGAAGTCCTCCTGCATCTTGTCAGATCAAGCGTGGGGTTGTACACAGTGCATTCCTTAATCTCATAGGTAGGTCACAGGCTGTTTGCTGGAGAAGGCAAATGATCAATAGAGTTTGCTTTCATTATTTTCTTTATACCTCTGCCCAATTACAAAAAGCATAAGTTTTTTAAAGTCAGAATTATTAGGAAGAGGTTTATTTATTTATTTATTTATTTCTTCAACTTAATATACCGCCCCAACCCCCGTAGGGGTCTCTGGGCGGTTTACATTTTTGGGTGCTAATCATCCAAGGCTGTATTAAACCCAGGGCTATTTTGGGGGCGGAACGGTGTTCCAGCTGGCTTCCAAGCCCGCACCACCCCTCCCTCGCCAAAAACCCTGCTCCGCTGTCATGACCCCTATGTAGAGGAAGTGGTGAGCCTTGGCACAGCCCAGGCCGCCCACATAGTCCCCACTCCCATTGTGGCTGCTGCTGCCGTGGCGGCCGGCACCTTCTTCCACCTCCTCTTCCTCCTGCGGATCTCCTTCTCCACCGGCAGTGGTGGCAACAGCAGCAGCGATGGGCAAACTGGGCACAGGCTCGTCCTAGGAGGCGGTGGCAGCCCCAAGCCCTTCTCCAGCCACGGCTCCTGCCCTCGCCTCAGGCTGCAGCTGCCTCTTGCCGCCGGGCAGCCCAGCCACCCAGCCATAGTAAGAACAGAGGCTGCCGCTGCCGGGGCCGGCCGGGGGACAGCTCCCAATCTCTCCTCCCCCCTCCTTCCCTCCTCCAGTATAGCTGCTGCGCCCGCCTGAGGGCTTTTTCATCTGGGCCGTGGGTGAGTCCAGGAGAGGGGGAGGGGCGCCGAGAATGGATGTAGGTAACAATATGAATAAGTTCAGACGATGCATCAGAGGGACTAAACCATTGCATTCTGAGCAGAAAAGCCCCAGACAATTTTAAGAACAGCCCATGGACATATGTTTTCTTCCTTATCTGCAGAAAATACTTGGATCATGGAGGTACGTGTGTGTGGAGAGGGTGAGTGTGGGAGTGAGCAACACCTGCACACACGCGCACTCACACAGAGAAGGGGCAGGAAACTGAGACTGCATCGATGGTTTGCCATTGGAATTAAAATCTGGGTGCGATCTGATTGTTCCTTTGTAGCAGATGCATACATAGGGCCAGCTCACTAGCAGCTAAGCCCAGCTCCCAGCAGCCCTCAGTTGGGCCAGGATGAGCTGGGGGGAGCATGATGTGCTGCCTCTTCTTGCTGCTGCCGCTGCTGCAGCCGGGAGCCAGAAGGGTAAGCCCCACTTGTTTTGCGAGGCTTGCATCTTCTTCCTTAGAGCGGTGGCTGTTTGCAGAGGTGGCTGTGTGTGTTTGTGTGTTTTGAGGCAGTAGAGTAGACAAAACCCTTTCCTGATTCTGCTGACGGCACTTGCAAAGGCTTTGGACTCTCCCCCCCCCCCCCCCCAAAACGGGGGACTTGCAAAAAAACTTTCCCACTCTCGAGACTTGCAAAGAACTTCTCGCCTCACTGCCCTATGAACTTCCTAGGTTCTTATGCAAAATCTCTACATTACAATCAGCAAATAAATGGCGAGGGAAACTCCTCCCCCCAGCAAGTTCCACGTGCTTTATGCAAACACTGTTCTTATTAGAAGGGTTCTTCCAAACACTTATAAGGGGGGAAGCAGAAATCTTGTGAAAACTGCAGCTGGGGTAATGGAAGATGTTCTAAGATTAATGGTTGCTGTGGATGGAATGTCTACAGTGAAAGGTGCAGTTGGGAATTTTGGGTTGGGTTGTTTCTTAAATGTGTGTGTGCATGTTTTTTTGTGTTTTTGTTGTTGTTTTTTTACTCTCCTGAAATAATCCATGATGCCCCAGCTGCCTCGCTCTGCTTCCCGGCTCCCACATTCCCTCTCCCCCTTCCTCCCTCTTGTCTAACTCAAAAGTGTTGTCAGGTCCATTGCAGACTGCTGGAGCCAGCTTGTTCTCCAGTGTGTGTGTGGGGGGGGGTGGGGGGAAACAAACACCAAGTGAGAAAAAAACAGGCAAGGCAAAACACGCATCAAACCAGCCCTGTATCTCGCCAAAATGTTCTCCTTCACCTCCACCTCACCCCCAACATCCCTTCTCTGCACCACCATATTTCTAAAGCAGGAGAATCTCCCTCTCTCTGCCCCTAATGAAGGAGGCTGGGAAGCAGCAGGAACAGCTCCTCTCTCCAAAAGTAGAAAAGAACAGCGATGAGGAGAAAGAGGGGAAGGAAGGGGCTCCCGGGGAAAAGAGTAAAGAGTTGAGGTCCAGTGGAGTGGCTGGTAGGAGTTGCAGGAGCCTGGGGATGTCGGGGACCTTAGGAGAGCATTATGCTGCAGAGTCCTTCAGATGGACTGCAGACCCCAACTGGAGGTTGGCAACCCTAGTGGAGCTAGTGATGGTTAAATGGCTTTCCAAGGCAGTCAGACAGATTCCTGGAGGGGAGGATCAATCAGTGGCTACTAGACACATTGACTCAGGGAAGCCTCCATACTCAAAGGCAGTCGACCTCTGGATCACAGTGTTGGGAGGCAACATTAGGAGAAGGGCTTGGCCCCTATACCCTGTTTATTTGGCTCTTTGTATGAAACAGGATGCTGGATCTGACTGATCTTTGGTCAAATGCAGGAACACTTTTCTGAAGCCCTCATTACTACATTTTTAATTAGGCATTTTTAAAAGTATCGAGCTTGTTAAGGATGCCAGCTAGTATAAAATATCTGAACTTGCTTGCTTGTGAAATTCTAACTTCATTTTTTGATGTTGAAAACTCCCCAAATGTTTGGGGTTTTTTTTGGGGGGGGGGGGTTAATGTGAGTTCAGTTCCCTCTTTTAGTCTCTGGGGTTTTTCTGTTGTTGCTTCTGTGGAGGAGGAGATGCTAACTAGTGGAAAAGAGGTTTACCTTTGCAAGAGGAAGGCATACAAAATAAACTGGCATGGCGACCCACAGCATATCCATGAGATATTAAGCAGGGTGCGAATTATTTTAAACTGATGTTTAGACAAACTGTGGCTGAAGGACAGCTATTATGAACCCATTGTTTAATGCACTGTGGCCCCATAGGATCATATCACTGGAGTCTTTTTGTAGTTAAAATGTAGGTCTTTTAATAAAACAATAGAAACAGGACTTTGCCTTGTGTAAGGAAAGATAAGCAACCTTTATCCCTGTCTTGCCCTTATTAGATACTTGAAACTCATAGGTTTGATTGTACTTTCTAGCCACCTTCTTGCAAAGACATGTTCTGAAATGTAATGAAGGAACTGTGCAGGTGCATTAAAAAGAAGCTCTTAGGCTTCTTGAATGGAAGGGTAAGACTTCCTTAATCTTTCTTCTCAGGCCAGTTGTCTGCCCATGCTACTTTGAATACAGGAAAGGCTGAGAAAGAGGAGGAGGCGGCAGCTGGCTTGCTGGAGACCAGGGAATTGTCTGGGTCTTTCTTCTTGTGCAAAGAAGGGCACAGTCGTGGGGTCTGCAGGGGGAAGAGGAAGCAGTGGAAATTGCCATTATTTCCCTTTTAAATTCCCAGGCAGAACTCCTTGTGGCTCTTGAGCACCTGACATTTCATCTATGTGGCTCTTACATGAAGCAAGTTTGGCCACCCCTGCTGCCTCAATAAAGCGCTCCCTTCCCAGCCCGGATCTCCGCTCGTCTTTCTGCCTCCTGCGCCTGGTGGGAGGGAGGGTGGGAGGGACGGGGCCCCTCTGGCCCAGCCCTCCCCCCAGAAATGGGAAAGTCTACCGCCCATGGATGCATGCTGGAGGTTTCTAAATATGGAGCAAAGAAAAAAAAGCAGCTTGCCTTTCTCGACCTATTTGTGCAATGATATGTGATAATTCCTTCTCCAAAGCAAGGACAGAGCCTGCTTTTGCTACACTGCACGGTTCCCTGCTCGTCAGAATCGTTTGCCTTACTGTACTCATAGAAGTGTTATTTTGTGCTGGAAGGCGTTCTCTGCCCAAAACTGCAGAGATCTTTTAGAGGAATGTAAACATACCTATTGAAGGGCTGCAAGCTTGCTTATTTTGAAGTCATTTTAAAGGGGGAGGGTTACTTCTGCGTAAATACATATGAGATTAATTATGGCTTTTAGGAGTACCCTCTTTCATTCAAAAAAGGTAACATGGGGCTGTTGCGATTTCTTGCATTTAAAATAACCCATGTTAGGTACACATTGCACGCGTGCCTTTCCTCTTTCTTTTACCTTCTTTCTAGTTGCAAACAGCTTTTCATTACCCCACTTCTAAGTCTGACTGGGGTCATCCTCCAATCTATGTTAAAGTTTATTTTATTTATTTGCACTTAGGGCTGAATCCAACCCCTCGCTTGCATGAGTGGCAGACATTTCTACTTTCACAAGAAGTCTTCCATTTCTGCAGACTCCCCCTTCCAACTGCAGCACCCTGCACCATATCCCACAGGGGTCATTTTGTAGAAAAAGAGCTAGGGGAACTCATTAGCATATGCCACACCCCCTGACATAAGGGGCCCGGCGGTGGACCTGCAAGGCCAGCAGGAGTGCGAGGAAGCCCCGCCAAGGCCCTCCCTGGCCCCAGGCAGGCAGGGGTGGGGAGAGGCGGGGAGGAAGCAACTTACCCTCCCTCTTCTCCTGCCTCCTCCTGGATGAATGAGGGCCGGAAATGGGGGGCAGGGCTTCGTCGTGTGCCCCATCCCCCGCACCTCACCCGGGGGAACTGCGATCCCCCGCGATCCCCCCCGAATTGACCTCTGTGCACAGGCCTCATTGTCATTCCCAAACATCCTCTGACACTCAGGAACAACTTTAGAGACAGAGGCTACAATTGTTTGGATCCTATCCATGATTCTTTATGCACAGAAAGTTTCTCTCTTCTAAGAGTTGGACAGTGCTTCATGAATGCAATATAGAATCTCTGTGTGCATGTGCTAAGCATTACTCTTTAGAGATGTCCAGGAGCAAAGGAAGAGTTGGCACGCTGAGAACAAAAGAAAGAATTCTAATCTTATAACTGTACACTTGGGAAGGTAGAACAGCATAACTGAGGCACAATCAGTTATCCTTCAGGTACATTAACACCACTCATTTATATTAGGTAGGTTGGTAGCAGGTGAAATTTTATTGTTTGCGGCCAAGGGCCAAAAACAACTGTCCGAGCAATAATAAATGTAATAAGAAACACAACAAACAAGGTAAACAGAATAAGAAGCAAAAGGTGGGTGTGGCTGGATGACCACACTTCTGGTAGCATGGAGTGTGGCCTAATATGCTAATGAGCTGCACTGTCAGGGGTGTAGCCTAATATGCTAATGAGTTTCTGCTGTTGGATGTGGTCTATTATACTAATGAGTTCCTGCTGGGCTTTTTCTACAAAAAGAGCCCTGATAAACCTAAAGGGGGCTGGACCCTCACAGATTCCCCACACACACAATTAATTAACTAGGTTTCTATCCCATCTTTGCTCCAAGAATCTCAGCATGGCACACATTATTCCCCCTCTCTTTTATCCTCCTAACAAACCTCTCAGATTGCAAGATGGCAACTGTCCTGAGGTCTTCCACGGCTTTTCCAGGTGCTGTGATGATCTGAAGCCAGTCCTAGTCTGGCAACAATTACACAATGCTGTCTACAGCCCTGAATTCCTCACTAAAAGTAATGCAAGGAATGCTGATTATAATTGGCACAAAGCAATGGAAAGAGTGAATAGGCCACTAGCACCCTCACAAACTGAGTGTCTTCCCTTGAAAATGACTCTCAGCCTTTTCAGCAGGTAGAGCTGGGATAGTATGCCAGCTAAGAAAGTGAAGCTATGATCTGGAGGGTCTCTGGTTCAAATCTTTGCTCATCTGCAACCTCACTAGGCACATCATTTTGCCTTAGCCTCTCATCCACACAATGGAGATACTACTGGGGCTATTTTGCAGGGCTGCTGCAAGAACAATGAGAAGATAATTTATCCAAAGTGCTTCAAACACTGAAAGCACTGTATACATGCTAAGCATTATTAATCATTATTATGCTAATGATAATAGTGATGTGTTCCATTGTGGATATTCAGGGTTTCCACATCTGTTTGCTGCAAGTAGCAAATGTAAAAGCCACTGTCCTAATGGGGAAGAAGCAGCAGTACTCTTGTAACACAGAAATCTAGTAGCTTGGGAATTAGGTCTCTGGAGTGAGCTCTCCCCAGCCAACAGTGTTTCGCCCCAGAGTCCCACACAAGTGCACTTGAAGCTGTGGGGGAGGCAGGAGGGGAATGGCCAAGCAACAGAAGCCACTCCATTGTGTTTGCATATGAAAGACTCAAGCAAGGAGTCTATCCTGGAACGTGCTAGACACAGGGTGGGTCAGCTGAGCTGGAGCGCAAGCGAGACAAGGCATAGGCACAACTGGCTCAGCGTAGTCAGAGTCCAGCTGCCAGGTCAAACATGGAGTAAGCAGTTTGGTAGCAAGAACAGGTTTGGGGGCGAATCCAGAAGTTAGAAACCAAACACAGTCCACAGGGTCAGAATCTCGAGGCACTGGCAGCGAGGTCAGGAGTAAGATGATGCATTGCTTCCGCAGTCAGTCTCCCCCTTTCTCCGTCCTTTATAACAGAGACGCTTGTCTTGCAGCTGGATTGTATCGTGAAGGTGCGTGTGCACCCATCCTCACTGTCTGGATCCAGGTGTCTCTGGACTGCTAATTGCGCACTCCGCCTTCTTTCCAGCATCTCATGTCAAACCCTCCTCCATCTACATTCCAGGGGTTCTGGGGACAGGGGAGGCGAGGTAGATGGTAGGATGCTTCCTGATTCCGATCCATGGGGCTGAACAGCTGGGATGCTGCTGTCAGGCTGTAAATCGTTATTTGGCAGGACAGAAGTAGCTTTCTGTAGCAGGCTGGATGTGAGCTGGGACCTCCTTCGTATACCCATTCCTCTTCTGAAGAGTCCTCTGCCTCTTCAGGGTTAACTGTGCCAGCTGAACCACAACAGAGTTAGAGGTGATCAGTGGGTGGAGAGCAGTTGCCATTGTGTGACCTGGAGACCTACAACAGGCAGAGCGACCATCTGTTTTGTCCCTAATCCCCTTTCTTCTTTTCAGGGCCTCACAAGATCAAGTTCATCCCTTCTATGGTTGGCCCAATCCTGGAGGTGACCTTGACGCCTGAGCCTGAATTGCGGAAGGCAACAATCCCCATCTTCTTTGACATGATGCAGTGCGAATTCAACTTCAGTGGGAGCAGAAACTTCCATATGGTATGGGAAAAGTACAAAAGTGGATTTCTGGAAGGAAGGGGGGATTGAGATTTGGGGTGTCTCTATAATACCTAGCTGAAAGAACCTTCTGAGCCAATAACAGACTGTAAAGACTGTAAGCAGACTTTTAGGTTGCAGAGTGGGCTGCTTCTCAGTAGCCCAAACAGCCTGAAGCCTTAAAAGCAATAGCAGCAGCTGGATAATTTAGGAGAAATAAAAATGGACGGTTTGTAAGATGTAGCAGTAGAAACCCTTGGACAAGCTACTAAAAAGGACTAACTTCTTGTCAAAATATAAAGCTAAGAAAGCCTAGGCAAACAACATGCTACTGAGAACTTGGTACTAGATGAATGGCTGTAGGGGAGGGCATTCTACTTGTGAGGTGTCACAGCAGAAAGGCCGTGCCTCTAGTGGCCATCCATTTTTCTTCAGCAAGGGGAGGTGTGAGGTGTACCACATAGAACCTCTGTTGGATTATTTTAGTAAGCAAGCAAGTTTGGATCTCCTTCCGTTATGCATGTATTCAGCAGCTGGTTTTGGAGGGATGGCTCTCAAGAGTAGATGTTCTGATACTTGGTGGAGATAGAGAGCCTGTTAGGCTTTCTAGTCTTCCAACTTGTTTAGTAGTTCTTTTGACCGCCTTGAAATTTATCAGTTGGACTCTGTCTCGTATCTGCCATTCTTATCCTGATTATGTCCTGATGTTCTGTGTGGTTTCTTTATGGGGCACCTCAGTGTTGGCATGAGACTGGTGGTTAGTGTTGCCAGATCTGGGTTGGGAAATACCTGGAGATTTGGGGGTGGAGTTGGGGAGAGCAGGGCTTGGGGAGGGGAGAGACCTCAGCAGGGTATAATGCCATAGAATCCACCCTCCAAAGCAACCCTTTTCTCAAGGGGAGCTGACATTGGTCATCTGGAGATCAGTTGTAACAGCAGCAGATCTCCAGGTGCCACTTGGAAGCTGGCAACCCTACTGGTGGTGCCCCTTTTCCCCTAGTCTAAGACAGCATGCAAGTATGGTGATCTTCAACTGCATGACAGAAGAAGTGAGCAGTGACTCATGAAAGCTCATACCACAAATTTTTGTTAGTCTTTAATGTGCTACTGGACTCTTAACTCTTTTCTACAGCTACAGACAGACTACATGGCTAGCCATCTTGATCTATCTGCATGACAGAAGAGATAGTACAAATATGGGGGAATTACGTTAGGGGTTAATTGAAGCATGTGGTCAAAACAGGACTAGTTCTTCGATTTCATAAATTTAATAAGAAATTGTGTTTTCATTTAGCACACTGGAAAGGTTTCTGATAGGAAAGTAGGATTTTTTTTAACGTGAAGTTCAGAAAAAACATCTTGTCTTGTACGTTTTTGGGTATGAAGTGGATCATCAGTGCTATGAGAATTCTGGATCAGTGTTTATTTTGCTCTTTTGGCTTTGTCCTAGTTTGAAAATGAGCTTATAACCAAACTGGATCAGGAAGTTGAAGGGGGCCGAGGAGATGAACCATACAAGGTTTTGCTGGAGAAACTGTAAGTGTGTGAGTGCTCTTGATTACCTTTCATGGTGCACTATTTATATGGCCTGGACAGATGTGACAATGATCATGGATCTCTGCCTGTAAAAAATAAACTACACACATGCAGCCAGTGAAAACCAGTGTGTCACAGTGGTTAGAATGTTGGACTAGGACCTGGGAGGACTCATGTTCAAATCCTCATTCCTTTTCTCTTTCTGTATCCTTGTTATTTCTCAAAATAAAACATTTTTTTAAAATCCTCATTCAGCCATGAAGTTCATTGTGGGGCACGAGGCCAATCACTATCTCAGCCTAACTTACTTCATGGGGCTGTTGTGGAGTCAACATGGAGAGGGGGAGAGCGATGCGGTGAAGGTCAGGGTTTAAAGGCTGTTTCAGAAAAGGCAGCATGGTCTCTACTCCAACCTTCTGCTAACAGGCTGAACCCAAGTGGTCATCTTTTAAATGCATTTCTTACCTATAAGACATTAGAGAAACAGGGTAAAAAAAGCCCCAGTAACTTTGATTTACTACCAGGAAGGAGGTTCAATAATGAGGCTTAAAACTGTTTACATATAACACACAATTTTTGCTGGGCTCATTAGGTTATGCTCTCTTTAAGCTGTGGAGTCTTGTGAGCAAAAATTCTACTTTGCGAGCTACTGGCATTAAAGCTGTGTGTAAGCAATTTGGCTTCTGCATTGATTAGCTTGCTCTGGAGCCCTCCTTCCTTAGCTAAGACAAAAATGTGTGAGACAGAGGCTAAAAAACTGTTAGCTAGCTCACACTAACTCAGCTTAGAGGGAACATTGGATAACATTTCAGATGTTGACCTTTGGGTGCTCAGAACAGTTGACAGACAAGTTTCTGTTATGGAGATAAAGATTGGCCTTCTGTTATTTTCTGGATTTTCACAGTATAAATCTGAGCTCCTCTCAAAAACTACAAATCATTGGCCAATTTCCTTCAAAAACCAGGCTCTGAGACAGCCACAGTCTCTTTCCAAAGCGTTCACTATGCTAGCTTGCTATCCCACAATTTATAGAGCCGCCTGAGACAGGGTGTCTCAACTCTCTGGTGAGAAAGAAAGCCTGTCTCCATCATTTACTGGTTTAGCCTACTTACACACAAGGCAGACTCTGAGACAGTCTCTCTCAGAGGGTTCAGACCCTATCTGAGCTGAGCTGACAGTGTAACTGCTTTTTCTGGATCACTCCCCCCCCTTCCATTCATGGGTCCTGATTGGATGTTAGCTGCTCTGCACGAATCCCTGAATAGGTGTACAGGGAAAGGGTAACTGACAGAAAGGGACAGGAGTGCTGCCCATGCATCACTCCTGTACACCACTCCTAGAGGAAAGACAGCATAAAAATGTGACAAATAATGGGTAGGAAGGCGGGTGGAATAAACATCTATGCTCTGCTGTTTCATTAACTGGTCTTCCAATACTATCATTAGCAGTTTTAAAGGGGAGAGGATGTTTGAAAACTTTAAAATGCTGCAAAACATTCCAGGAGCCCAGGTTCAATAAGAGAAACCAAATGAAGGTTTGAGAAGATAGGAATCCCCTCGTCCTTTGCAGTGTGATCCAGATCACAGCTGCACAGACACAGTTTTCCCTTTTACAGACTGGCAGTTTTCATCATGTCTGTTTTGGTTTGTAATACTCCATATAACGTAATGTTGCATTCTAGGCTTGGAACAGCACTGCAGCATGTATCAGTGCTGCTCATTCAGACAAGAGCTGTTTTTTCTCCCAACCAGAAGAAGATTTTAGACAGGCCTGTTTCTTTTAAATGCAAATGTAAGAACTGCAAGGAGTCCTGCACATGCCAAGGCTGCCCTTGCTTTTGATCTATCCAAAGGCTGGACAAGTCATCCTGCCACATTTTGGCACTAAGCGATCTGCTGGCAGGAATTGATTCACGGCTGCATTACCTCATGCCTAGGGACTATGTCTGTGCTGCACTTTAAAAATCCGTATTGTGCACTAAGCAAACCTGCAGCCAGCACTAACTGCAAATTACTTTGGTTCACACTGGATGTTCTGAAGGTTTGGCCACTTGGGGCAACAACTGGGGTGATAGAAAGCAACCGAAGAAGAAATTGGATTTATACCTTGCCCTTCACTTGGAGTCTCAGAATGGATTACAATCTCTTTTCTTTTCCCCTCCCCTCCCCAGAACAGACACCCTATGGGTAGGTGGGGCAGAGAGAGCTCTTTCAAGGACTGCTCTTGAGAGAACTTGTGACTGACCCAAGGCCACACTAGCAGCTGCATGTGGAGGAGTGGGGAATCAAAACCAGTTCTCCCATATTAGAGTCCGCGTTCTTAATCACTGCACCAAACTGGATTTCAGTTGTGGATGCTTGAGGGACCACTGATGACTCTTTTAAACATTGTCCACACTTGAGTTTTGTTTTCTGAACTTCTCACTAAACTGACTTTTCTCATCATCCATATGGGTTAGAAGGATATTGTCAAAACATCAAAGGTGGGATTCACATAACAGTAACAGCAACAACAACAACAATACCAATTTTTTTCTGATTGAACAATATGAATCATTTTAGCTTGGCATTTTCTATTTTCTGACCATTGTATTTTGGTGTTTTTAGGCTGTTTGTGGTTTATCTTATCTGTACCCCAAGCCCTTGAGGTAGAGCAGGTTGGGGGAGGGAATTAAATACAAGTTAAAAAATAGAATTTCTCATGTGCCTCTTCTTTCTTTTCTTCCTCTCTTCATTCCAATGCACCTGCCACAGCCTGCTGGAAAATTGTCGAAAGCACAAATACTTGTCAAGCTCAGGGGAGGTATTCGCTCTGTTGGTTAGCAGTTTACTGGAGAATCTCCTGGATTACAGAACCATCATGCATGATGGCAGCAAAGAAAACCGCATGAGTTGCACCGTGAACGTGCTGGTATGGGCAGGGATCTTATTTCTCTCATTGTCCTGTCTCTTGGACAAATCTGGTGCTGTTTGGTTAAAGGCTGAAAACCCTTGGATTAGTTGCTGCATGAATGCTGGGAGAATGTGCCTATTGTGTTTGTTTCGTTTGACTGATCTCTAGACATTGAGTCTGACACTGCTGAGAGTGCATGTCTGCTGTTTCCCTGAATTTTTCCAGTGTCAGGTAGGTTACTCAGTTTATAGCTTGCAATATGCCAGAGTTTCCTGCAGACTGCATAGAACCCGATAAGGATTTGATCCTAGGCCTCTACAGCACAAACCTAACATTCTGACAGTTGTGCTTCATATGAACTTCGTGTTTAGATTATACACATTCCGTATATACTTGAGTTGCATTTTTACCTGTGAAATTCATCTTGGTTATTCACAGTACTACTGTTGTTTTTTTCTTTTGTAGAATTTTTATAAAGAAAAAAAGAGAGAGGATATATACATCAGGTTAGACCTTTACTGCTTTTGGGGGACCAGGGGGAATTACTGTGCAGTGGATTCTGCCTTTTAGCACAGGCGGAACTCAGTTTCCCCTTTGCATCACTTCTGTCTTTGCCATTAAATGGTACTCTGGTGTATTTTATCCCTCCAGATACTTGTATAAACTCCGGGACCTGCATATAGACTGTGAAAACTACACTGAGGCAGCATACACGCTTCTCCTTCATGCAGAGTTACTCCAGGTGAGTTTTTGACAGCAATATTTGTGGTAGTGAGTGACCATCTTGGAAGTGCTGAGTATGACCCAAACAACCAAATAGCAAAGAGTAAAGCAGTTCTGAAGGAGGCAGAGTAGCTTAGTGGCTAAGGGACACGTTGCTGATGCAAATCTTAGCTTGACCACAAACTCAGTAGGTGACGTTAGACCAGCCTCTCTTCTTCAGGCTCCCTGTCCTCAATATGTGGTAAAGCTGTTCAACTATTTAGGCACTCAGTTGAGAACACAGTCTCATCAAAGCAAGATGCAGTGCCCACTGCATTCTGGGAACTGTCCCAGGTCCTGCCTTCCTGACCCAGCCTAAGCTACTTGGATACCTGCTGCTGGACACAGGTCAATTTTTCAGAGCCTTAGGCAAGATCTCAAATGTCTTGGGAACACATGAGGAAAAAATTAGAATATAAACCAATGTAGAATATAAACCAATGTAGAATGTAAACCAGTGTAGAATGTAAACACAGAAAAGCAGTATGAGAGAGTCTTAAGGAGGAAAAATGTACTGCTTCGGGGGGGGTATCTTGTTTTCAAGTACTCTGCTACCTAACATTTTCCGTGCAAACAGAAAGCTAATGCAGAAGGGATCAGGCTAGGTTAGAACATCTTCTCCATACTGTACTTCTTATGATTTTTGCAGGGAATATTGTCCATCGAAAAGCATAGAAAAATGACTTTCCACCACTCTTCCCCCTGAAGTGGTACAGGCCACTCTACCACCTCATTCTGCTCCCAGTATGGACCAGCTCAGTGAGATACTTTCTATGGAATTTAAACACCCCTAATTTTTTCGCTAGATTGTATCCCTTATCTCTGTAGACTTTTTTGGAAGATTTCTAACTACTTGGATGCCTCAGATTGTAGAACTGCTTCCCCAGGAGGAATATTAGAGCAGAAATCCTAACTCCCTGAATATTCTTTCCCTTATGCTAGTGGTCTGACAAGCCATGTGCACCACATCTGCTTCAGAGGGACAGCTACTATGTCTATTCACAGCAGGAACTCAAGGAGAAGCTCTACCAGGAAATCATAGCATTCTTTGACAAAGGCAAGGTGAGTAATTGTGTGGGGGACTCCTTGGGTATTCTCAAGCAGGCAGCACTGGAAGATGTGATCCACCAGACATGAGATACTTAAGGAGTTGGCCCCACCTGTGGTGTTCCAGCTGCTGGCTCTGCCTGATTTTGGTTACTTGTAAATAGCTGGGCATTTTCCCAGTATTTATTAATGATTATCAAGATAATATAGTCAAGATTTCTGGGTGCTGGTGGAGCATTATGATCCAGGAGGCGTGCCAGTTCAAGACTCTTCTCAGCGACAAGTTCACTAGGAAGCACAGGGTCACTCACCTGCAATATGACAAATGACAATTACTGTTGTATGAATTAAGGGTACCTTGGGGGGTCCTTCTGTGAACCTCATCCCCCTCAGCTGTTTGCCTGGTGCTTGATCTTTTCAGTTTCAGGTGTCAGACTAGGACTCTTCTGTTTATCCAGGCACTTGGTTATAATTCTCTTCTGTTGCAGTGAGCTGGCTTTTGTTGGATTATTCTTGTTGATATACACAATGGGTTGGATGCAGACTAAATTTTCCACTAGTGGAAGGCACTTCATGGAACAACATTTCCTGCCTTCCCTTCCCTCCTTCCTCTGCATCCCACTGAACTGAAAATGCTGCTCCTGAGGACAAGGAACCCCAGGAATGGCATGAAGGGCAAATTGGGGATCTGCAGGAGGAAAGGGAAATCACACCTCCCCTTCTATTAGCAGTAATGTAGTCTGGACCCAACTCAATGCGTCGATTTTTCCTTTGTGTGTGTTAATATGGCTTTGTTGAATTGAGATTATATGTGTTTGATTTGGGAGCCACATCAAAATCCTCTGGCTCTGAAGCAGATCTATGTGAAGTGCTTTCAGCATGCAAAGCCCTTTTAAATGCTAGATATTGTTAGCTTCATTATTGTTGATGGTTACTGATATGGTCTTTTTCATTATTTATGGTACAGTGTATAAGGCAGAGGACATTATGACTATACCCAAGCCCTTTTAGTTTAAAGGGCTAATGCTCCCCACTGAAGTAGATTTAATTTGTGTGTTCAGTAAACTAATTAGCTAATGTTTTGGTCAGTGCTGTTGTATTCTGTGCTTAAGTAATTGGCATCAAGAAAAATTGAATTTCTCAACCCATACGGTTTTATGCATTATTGGGCAGATATGCATAATTTCACTTGTTCTGTCTGTGCCATTTGTACTGCCATGTGTACTGTTCTGCTTCTGCAGAGCTATACAGAGCACCAAATCCCCCTGACCCCTATCTTATCCTGCCGTCCTTCTGACTTCTGAGGTTTTTACAAGTAGTGCCTTCACACTTTTGAAGATACGTGTGCAACCATAAAGTCTTGAAACCTGGCTTTTTAAAATGTAGCCTTGTGCCACTGTAAATCATACATCTGAGATTTCGGCAACCTTTGCAAAAATACATTTTCGAACATATGATTACTTGCTCCCCTGTGAACTTTCAAGCTGACTGAATCCTTCTGTCTAGGCCCTCCTCTTTGTGCTTCCAGTTTCAGAGGAGTAGGAGGGTCTTTTTTCTGTGGTTGGCATTGCCATTGTGAAACTGCTTCCCCATAGCTGCTCACCTGGGGCCTCATCTCTTTTCCGTTTGGGTTGACTATGTGGTGAGATATGGCTATGTTCTTAGGATTTGGGGGGGGGGGGGTTATCACCTGCTACCTGTGATCCCTAGCTGGAGATGTCATGGACCTTCAGCATGCAAAGCAGGAGCTCTGCCACTGAGCCACATTGATGTTATAATATTTTATCATCATGAAGAGGGGCTAAAGGATTTTGAAAGACACAGTAGTTATAAGAGAGTTGTTGTTGTGTATTCTACCTGTTCTTTGTGTAAAATCACCCTTACTTTTAAACTTTTTTTAAAAAAAACACCCTATTGTCATGTTGATATAACCACCTCTGCTGAACATTTTCAAGACTTTGTTCTTGTGGCAGGCTCATGTGACCAACTGCTTTAAGCATGTAACTAGAGTATGGATAATCCTGGAGGGTTAGATGTGTAAGAATTACTGGGATATATGTGTTACATGTATAAGGTTACATGTGTGAGAATTACTGGGATAATGTATATGTAATGCTTTGAGTACGTGATCTTAAGCATTTGTTATGCAAATACCTGGGTTGCCTGCTTGAATAACTGTGTTTCTCTGTATTAATTAATCTCTGCTAATACATGTTTGGTCTGTTGGCCTGTTTATTTCTTTTTATGTTCCTGAAGATGTGGGAGAAGGCAATCCAACTAAGCAAGGAACTGGCTGAGATGTATGAAAACAAAGTTTTCGATTATGAAGGGCTTGGCAGTCTTTTGGTAAGATCTGTGGTTTTTAATGGAAGGAATAAAGGAAGCTATCCAAGGGGGACAAAAGATTCCCGTCACTCCCAGCCCTGATCGTTGAGGGCCACATGGCCAAGCTAGGAGCATAGGGATCACTGGAATAAACTTCCTGTGGGGTAGAGCTCAAAAGGAGTTTAATTTAAGTGGCAGCATTCTCTCTCACACTCAAATAGTCTGCTGGATCAGCTCAAAGGTCCATCTCATCCAACATCCTATTTTCCACAGTGGCTGGCCAGATGCTTCTGGAAAGCCCACAATATGGTGCATAAAGGCAGTAGTTGTTCTCCATGGTGTGATGAGTATTATATAAATTTTTAAGATGGCCTCTCTGTAACTGGTATTCAGAATCTTGAGGCTCCATAGAGCTACCATTTCATTTAAAAAAAAATCTTTTTATTGGTTTTTAACATTAAACAGGTTTTAATAACATTGCATACATAGTGTTATATATAATTACTGATATAGTTGTCTTAAAAATAAAAAAAACTAGTGTTATTACATATTAACAAGATAGTAAGTACAGTGAACAGAATAACAGTTGCGTGAAATACTTAACTAGGGCCCCGGTCACACGGGCAAGAAATTGCGGGGGGGAAGCGTGGCTGTTTGCCCCAGGGCAAACTAACATGCAGTAAAGCGATCATACCTCCTGTGGAGGTTCTGTGGAGGTACCGTGGAGCTTCCGTGGTTACGGAGAGGCATCGATCACAACACATGCCTGCGCACAACAAAGAAGCGCGCGGCGCGGCGAACTGGTTTTCATTTTTTGTGTACACTACGAATGTGCATGCTCCGTTGGGTGTGTGTGCGCAACCATGAAGACTTGGGGGGAAAAAAACCCTTCTTCGCAAGGGGACATGGGCGGGCGCCGGATGCCACCAGAAACGCGATCAGACGCCCGCCCTTGCCCCGCAGTTTCCGGAAACTAGTACCTCCAAGGTACTAGTTTTTTGCTGCGCGTTTTCGGGAGGAAGCCTCGGTTGTGCCACAGAAGCGCTACGCTCCCCAGATGTGCTGGTGAGATTGCGCCCGGAAACTCCGCCTGTCTTCCGTATCTCTTGCGTGGCTAATGTTGCGTGTGACCGCAGCCTAGATTCAGTAGTTAGATAACAATGGGCAAGAATTTATCTTGTTCATGCAGAACCAATTTGCAATTAGCACTGTAATATATCGGGGCATTGTGTGTGTATTGAAATGAAACCAGCTATTGACTTAGTATGTTCATTTCATTCTTTAGTGTGAGTGAACTTCAAAAACATTGTATATTGACTGCTAAAATTTAGCAGTTTAAAATCCCATTTGCACAACCTAAAATGTAGCTGACAGAGGGGAAAAACATTCAGCTGAAAGTTTTAAATTTTCGCCCTCCCCTGGTCTAACACATACAGAAGAAACGGGCCACGTTCTATGAGAACATTATGAAGGCGATGAGACCTCAACCAGAATATTTTGCTGTTGGGTACTACGGCCATGGATTCCCCTCCTTTCTCCGGGTAAGAATGTTGTGCCTGGCCAGATGGCTTAATTATCCTTTAAAATCCTTGGATATATAGAAAATCTATACTGTTGTCAGCAGACTTTAAAGATTATAATTACCTTCCCCCACCACATGCATCATTAATTAGAGGGTCAAGCAATAAGAAATTATTCTTGGATGTTGCGACTCTCAAAAGTTCTACCCAGTTTCAGGCTGCACTTATATACCAGTCCTTCACTCCCTGGGCCAAGTAAGATGTTACTTGGAATGCAAGGAACAGCCTTTTAAAAAAAATAATTGAAAGGTAGCCATGGGAGTTTATCTATTAAAATGGAGAACTAGTGTGGGAAGCATACTGGTTTTCTGTTCAAAAATCACACAGCCAGATTTCTAAATACCAGAAGTTTGTGACAGATATCTGTTCTATAATGTAGAGAAGAGAAGAGATTGGTAGGTGTGAGGTAGGTGGGGCTGAGAGAGCTCTTGACAGAAACTGCTCTTTTTCAAGAACAGCTCTTATCAGAACTACAGCTTGCCCAAGGTCATCCAGCCAGGTGGAAGTGGAGGAGTGGGGAATCAAACCCGGTTCTCCCAGATTAGAGCCCGCGCACTTAACCACTACACCAAATGTCCAGCTTTGACAGCTTTTCTTTCCAGTTTGTATCCAAAACTCTGTGTAGTTTGGTTTTCATCTGTGGAGAACCTCCTGTGACTTTCCCCTCTTTTAAGAAATATCAGTAGAGGAGTAATGAAATATCACTCTAATATGGTAAAACCTCAGAATTCAAATCCTATAAATATTTTTAAATATTACTATCAAAATGTGATTTTTGAGGGATGTCTTTTCATTCTTGGAGGATTCAAAGGCACTAAGTATCAGTGTAATTTCACTTCTGACGATGTCCACTAGTAAACTGCAGGGCTCCAGAGGCTTCATTTCAGGTAGCACACTGCATATTACATCTTTCATCCCATCTCTGAAAACTGCTGCAAGTAGCAAATGCAGGAAGCTTGGCCCCACCTGGGCCCTCAGCCGAGCCTATCCCAGGGGCCGGAGACAGCAGAGGGGTGGGGGTAGCCATTTAAGGCTCCACACCACCCCAAGTCGCCCTCTTGCCAGTTTGGGTTCTGAAGATGCATATCCAGTTTTATTGCAGTGCTGAAGGGAAATCTCATGTTACAAGTAAATAAAATATGAATAGCGTGTTCTCTTAACACCAGGAGTTAGGAATGGAGGATTGGAAAGTTAAATTAGGGAGATGTAAATTTAGGACTTTTGTATATTTGGATTGGGAAAATATGTCTCATCTCCCCACCCACTCACCCCAAATTCATTTTCATTTCTAAACACAAGCTATTTAAATAGTGTGTACTAATTAAAATAGATACCTTTATGTTTTTGTGTGTGAGTCTTTCACCGTACTGATGAGCCTTGTTTATTTTCTATCCATTTTACAGGAGTCGTGCTCTCAAATAGATGAGAATGGACTATCACAAATGTATCACTTGTTTCTCTTTTTAATTTTGTCCTGATTCAGAACAAGGTTTTCATCTACCGTGGCAAGGAGTATGAAAGGAGGGAGGACTTCAATTTGAAACTACTGACCCAGTTTCCAAATGCCGAGAAACTGAGCAACACCACTCCCCCACCAGATGAGATCAAAGCTTCCCTAAAGCAATGTATCTTTTGGGGGTATTGTTTAGTTGTGTTTGTTTACTTCTTTTACAGCAGGAAAAGGATATGGGGTAATACCATGTATTGTAGAACTGTGGCTCACTTAGTGTTCATTTGCAAGAACAATTAAAATGAACCTGTGTACAGTCTCCAATGCAATAGTGTTCCTTCAGGCATGGCATTGTCACACCAGCTTAACTTGGAATTGAGACATTTTCTCCCATACCCTCCCTAGCTAGAGCCTCTCATACTACGGTGCACCCCATTCCAGAAGGTTCCTTCAACTTTCATAGACTTTTGAAGGGCCACAAAAGGCAGAAGAAAGCCCTGTTGTGCAAACAAAACTCCACCGATATTCTCTGAATCCCAGACTTTATCTGCAGTAGATGTACCATATAGGACAGGGCTGGCCAGACTTGCTTAACATAACAGCCACACAGAAGAAACGTCAGAGGTTTGAGAGCCGCAAGACATGAACAAATAGGCACACGTTTTTATTGGAAAATATGCAAATTTGCTTTTTATTAACATTAAGTTAGACTGTGTGAAAGAGCCACATGTGGCTCCCGAGCTGCAATTTGGCCACCCCTGATATAGGAAGTGCCCTTGGGCACTTCACTGGGGCCAAATGAGCACATTTTAAGAGCCTGCACCTCTTGCTTGATGTTTGCCTGCTCCTTTGGTACAGTACCTGGGTTCTGAGTTTTTCTTGCGAGTCCAGCCTGAAATATACGTTTGGGAGAGTGTTCAAAAGCATCAAGGGGCAGCTGGATTTGAAGCCATTCCCTTAGCCCAGTTTTACAAGAAACCCGCTGCAATGCCTGGATTCAATTCAAGGCCCTTCTTAGAAACACTCTTGAAAAAGTAACCAGTGCCCTTATACATCCCGTTGTCAGAAGCAGTGTGGTGTAGAAGAAGAAGAGATTGGATTTATACCCCGCCCTTCACTTGAAGTCTCAGAGCGGCTTACAAACTCCTTTCCCTTCCCCTCCCCACAACAGACACCCTGTGAGGTGGGTGGGGCTGAGAGAGCTCTGACACAAACTGCACTTTTTCAAGGACAGCTGTGCCAGACCTTGTGACTGACCCAAGGTCACATCAGCAGGTGCAAGTGGAGAAGTGGGGACTCAAACCCGGTTCTCCCAGATTAGAGTCCGCACACTTAACCACTACACCAAACTGGCACCAATTACACATTATTTAGTGTAGTGGTTAAGAGTGGCAGACTCTAATCTGGAGAACCGGGTTTGATTCCCCACTTCTCCACATGCAGCAGCTGGGTGACCCTGGGTCAATCAGAGTTCTCTCAGAGCTGTTCTCTCAAAAGCAGTTCTCTCAGAGCTCTCTGAGAAGGGAAGGTGATTGTAAGCCGCTTTGAGACTCCTTCTGGTAGAGAAAAGCGGGGTAGAAAAACCAACTCTTCTTTTTCTTCTAATGTATGCCACGGGTAACTCTGAATTCAGGTTTTCTTTTATTTACTGGGTTTTTTTAATCAGTTCTTTAAGTTTGACCAGAAACTGCCTCCATGCTCTCTTAGCAATCTAAAGAGGCTTTGGCAATGCAATGCTATGTGTATTATAAAGGTCACTGTGCCCCACCTTGCCCCCCTCCCAAAGCTAGACTTGTTCCTTTAGAGTATTGGGATATCTTTTCAGGGATAGTTTTAGAGTTGCAAAGAACACTCCTAGTCTCTCAGGTTCTTAGTCTACACTAGAGGTTTTCAGACTGTGTTCTGGGGTACCCCAAAGAAAGCTTATCATGGGTTCCTCAATAAGATCAGTGGTGGGAGACAAGCTTCCTTTGAAAATCAATTTGTCTACCGTTACTGGATCTTTTCTTGCAATATGCAGCCACTGAGGAGTTACTGAGCATGTTCGAAGGTGCACTTTCAGCTTGAACAGAGTGATGGTGAAAATGCAGAGATGGGTCAATGCTCCCCTTAACTGGAGTATGTGTGCTTTACAACATATTCCCAAATCCTCGGTACCACCCAGGAGTGCCATGGCAGATAAGCAAGGGAAGAGGCCATGGCTTAGTGGTAGACAGAATGCCTTGCATGCAGAAAGCTCTAGTTCAGCCCTGACATAACCAGTTTAAACAACAAATAGGTGTCTAGGGAAGCATCTTTCTCAGCCTGAGACCCCAGAGATCTCCTGACAACTGTAGTAGATGGACCGATGTTCTGGCTTGGTATGAGGCAGCTTTCTATATACATACATTTTGATCAGGGGTCATTTCGTAGAAAAAGAGCTGGGGAACTCATTAGCATAACTCATTAGCATATGCCACACCCCCTGACATCAGGGGCCTGGCGGTGGACCTGCAAGGCCAGCGGGAGTGCGAGGAAGCCCCGCCAAGGCCCTCCCTGGCCCCAGGCAGGCAGGGGTGGGGAGAGGCGGGGAGGAAGCAACTTACCCTCCCTCTTCTCCTGCCTCCTCCTGGCTGAATGAGGGCTGGAAGCGGGGCGGCCGGAAGCAGGGGGCGGGGCTTCATCATGTGCCCCGCCCCCATGCACCTCACCCGGGGGAACTGTGTTCCCCCGCGTTCCCCCCCCAAAAAAATGACCTCTGATTTTGATAGTGTGGAAATGTTTTTTCTAAAGACAGAAAGTTTTAAAAAACCACTGCTCTGCAATACTTATGCTTGATTCCGATGTTGCTATTTTTCTGACATTTTGGAAAGGGTATCTTATATCCAGTGTGGAATGAACTATTGCACAGATTTCCATTTCCCTCTCAGTACACGCATTCATTCTCAGTAAATTGTGCTCTTTCTGTCAAAATCCTTGTTATTTCATATCCTTAATGTATGCAACTCAGATGTGCAGTGTTTCATCGTTAAGCCTGTAATGAACCTCCCTCCCAACTACAAGGACAAGCCTGTTCCGGAACAGATTCTTAAGTAATCTCTTTTTCCCTGCTAATCAATGCTGCTTCATTTCTCAAAGCCAAGTTTTTACACTGGGGAGCAACCAGCAGTTAGTTTGCCTGGACCTTTGGTTTTCTTAAGGAACAAACCAGTTGGCAACTTAAGACTAAAGTTCTTTTTAAAAAAACAACACACACAATGTGAACGCTGCAAGGTCCTAGCCAAGTCTGATTATTGGAATCGTAGAGAAGTTGTGATGGGTCCAGTCCCTAATTGGAAAACATTGCCCAACACCTGCTGGTCAGCACTAGTTATAACCCACTTGCATGGTACCCTGACTTGCATTTCATGCAAATACAGAGGGTCATATATGAAGGACTTGGATGTGTCATGATGTGTCCCTTTTTCATACTGTGCAGCATTTTTTTCATTTTATTTTTATAATGTCTTATAAGAGTATGAATGAGAAAGGAACACTTTGTTCACATAGTCCCTTTGCTCTGTCGTGCACATAGTTTGTATTTGGACATCTGTACTCAAGTTACATGAAATGAAAATCAGCTCTCTTGGCTAACTAAATAGTCCATTCCCATTAAAAGAATCTATTTGCTGAAATTGTTGGAGGAACTTGGTATGTTTAGGAACAGGTCTCCTACTAACATCCACAGGATCTGATGATCTAAGTCTTTCACAATTCCTCTGTCAGTCAAGCATCCAGAGATTTCAGTTGAGTTGATAACCTTGCTGAGCTTGAGTCTGAGCGATGTGGCAACACTTTATTACTGTTCTTATTCCATCAACATGTGTGGCGCTTTACAGAGCAACATCAGTAAAACAAAACAGCTCTCAAATCTCTGACCCAAGAAGCTTAAAATTTAAATTTTGACTGTGGTGAGAGAAACAGTAGAGGAAAACAGGAAGTGGACACACAGAAATCCCAGAAGATAAATGTAAATATACACAAATACAATTACACATTATTTAGTGGATAAGAAATCCAGAGGGGTGATGGAAGCCAAGCATTTATTGGCTGGCCAGGTTCTCCTTGAATCCTCTGGTCTTCATCTTTGGCTTATCACCCACTGCTCATATATATACAACCACACCATTGTGTAGCGTTGCATAAATGCCGGGCAATTGCAGTTTCCATCAAAAAGTCTCTACACTGCTATTCCCGGGGAGCTTATATCTCCTCCCCAATTTTTGTTTAAATTCATCACCACTTTTAGTCATGGTACTCTAAGATCAGGGATTTCTATGCAATGGACAAAATAGTCTCCTATTGTAGTGCTACTCCTAACCATTCGGATTTATATTTGAAATGGCTTCCTTTTTTAGAAACAGTTTTTAATGATGACATATTTTCTCAGTATTCTGTACCAAAAAAGTATTACGTTCTTCATATTATGTAAGTCAACCTGCATTAGTTCTCTAGTTCTTTGTTATTATGACAGTTTGCATATATGCTTGTTGTTTCTGTTGTGTTTCTTAAAAGAAAATAAAAATAAAAAAACACTTTTAAACAAATAGGATACTGTAGCACAGGAATCAGAGCCTGGTTTTGGGCACTGGCTGAGATTCCAGCCTATGAAAATCCCCATTGTTTGTTTGTTTGTTTTTCCCATGTACTCCTTTTAGTTTCTACAGAGCCAATGAAGTGCAACAATTTACATATTCCCGGCCATTTAGGAAAGGAGAAAAAGATCCAGAGAATGAGTTTGCAGTGAGTCCTTCATTTTTTGAGCCTATCCTTCCCCTCCCTGAGGTTATTCTTGTGTTTTGAATTGTTTGCCTTCATGATGCTGAATGCCAATGAAAAGACAGAGAGACCTGCACCATGAGTATCTATTCCTCTTTTTGCTTTTGCTGCTTATAAAAAAAAATGCTACCTGAGGTGCTTGTCAGCACACCAGTGGGTGCAACTCTGGCTATTTTTATTTATTTTTTGCTATTTTTCAGGGCTTGAAGCCATCTGCAGAATTGTAAGCTCAAGCCAGACAGTGGCTGTCTTTTATAGTGGTATCCAATGCTCCCTCTAAGCTGTGGAGTCTTGTGAGCAAAAATTCTACTTTGTGAGCTACTGGTATTAAAGTTGTGAGTGAGAGATTTGGCTACTGCATGAATTAGTCAGCTCTGGCGCCATCCTCCCTGAGCTAAGACAAAAATGTGTGAGCTGGAGGCTAAAAAACTGTAAGCTAGCTCACACTAATTCAGCTTAGAGGGAACACTGGTGGTATCCACAGTATTTTCATACCTAGGCCGTCTATAGTTGCCTTCCTGTGCTACCTGGCTTCCTGCCTTCCCTCTGTTCTCATCCTCTCCTACTTTGCCTCTCTCCCTATGTATTCTTCACATGGCCAACGACTTCTTTCTGTCTCTTGGACCAAACCTTCAGTTACATATTTGGGGATTCTTGTACTGGCCTTCTACCTCATTTTTTATCTTTCCTTTTCTCCAGCCAGTTGAGGGATTGTTGGGTGTACATTGTCATCCCATCTTCCATTTTCTCGTCACAGCCACCCTGGGAAGTAGGCTGGGCTGAGAGACGGTGTGTTTGTGTGTGGCTGAAGGACCCCTCTGAGCTTCATGGCTCAGCAGAGGGTGAACCCGAGTCCCCATAGCCCTAGCTGGACACTCTGTCCACTACCCCATACTGACCTTCCCATAGTTGAAATCTCACCGCAAATTGATAGCCAGCCAGCCATATGCAAACCTCCCATCATCATGGCATTTGAGCCATCTCCCGTATTTATACAGAGGAGTTTGATGGATAACTGGCTTCCAAGTCCCTTAACCCTATCAAGAAATAATACATTAACTGCCCTTGACTTGGATGGCTCAGGCAAGCCCGATCTCATCAGATCTCGAAAGCTAAGCAGGGCTGACCCTGGCAAGTATTTGGGTGGGAAACCTCCAAAGAACACCAGGGCCAGGAGGCAGAGGCAGGCTGTCCAGCCATTTCTCTGAACATTCTTCATGATCCAGTAGGAGCCGCCAGAGGTTGCCTTGACTTCCAGGCACGGACACACACACAAATGCAAAAATACCGATAAATGAATAAATAAATAACACACTAACTGCATTCAGAGGACCCAAGGAAAGTCTTGGTTGTTTTTTTCTGGGAAGTCAGAAAATGTTGAAACTGAGATGGATGTCCAGAGAGATTGATGTCTAAAGTGGATACTTCAACAAACCCAAGTTTCTTTCTTGTCTCCAAAGGAGGATTCTAAGCTATGTTGCTTTTCTTCACTTTCCCCTCTCCTAACAGACAATGTGGATAGAACGAATCACCTACACAACTGCTTATTCGTTCCCAGGCATTCTCAAGTGGTTTGAAGTCAAACAGGTTACAACGGTGAGCTTGTGGACTGGATGTGTTCCAATTAAATATACCATCCACAGTCTGAACTGAGAAATAATTGGAGATGGGGTAGAGAGGGAGAGAATTAGAAACAATCTTACGTGTAGCTGATTTCATTATTTTCTTCCCAACATTATTCATTTTTTACTGATTCTGTTCCTGTGCATTTAAAAATTGGTATAACACCCAGAAATGTTGTAGGTGTTCTCTAGCATACAGGTATGTGGCGGGGAAAGGTTCACCTCCATTTCTGGGTGTCGGGCTGTTGCAAAAAGGGCATTGGGGCAGCTCTGGGAAAAGGATGGCAACCAAGTTTTCTGCACTGACCCTGATTCTCCTACATCTGAGGGCTGATTCATGTATGTCCTCCTGAGGTGATGCAGTCACCAAGCAGAGACTGTATCATACAAGTTTATCATGGGGAAGGCATTTGTCTTCATTTGCCCTGTGTGATGATTGCAGAACTTTCTCCTTCCAAAGAAAATCTGCATCCTCTCTGAAATTATTTTTCCCCATTAGAGGACAGTATCTCCTCAAAAGGAGGCATGTGAGGTGCAATATAATTGTGATACTTTTAGTTAAAGAACTTCCTTATGCAGCTTTGCACAGGTTCAGGGGTCTTGTTTCAGCTATGCTGCATTCTGTGTAAAATGTTGCGTGTGCTTAGTTCATGCACAAAAGATTAGCAGCCCTTGGAGATACTGGACCTGTGCACTCAGTAGCACATGTAGCTGCTTTTCACAGGTTGTGATACAGCTTCAATAAGACATTGAGCCTGTGCAAGGTCTCATGGGAAAGCTAGTAGTAGATCCATGACCAACTCTTCCTGGCATTTTTTAAAAAATAGATTTCATACGTGCACAGCCCCAGTTTGGATCAGGGTCATTCAGTGAGAGAAGATGGAGTTTAATCCTTTTGTACAGTTTCACCTGTGGAAACAGCCTCCCCGTCCCCAGGCTCCTGTTGATCTTGGAAGGGGGGGGGAGAACACTCTAAAGACACGTGTTTGTGTCCTCCTGCCCCCCCCTTCTTATGCTAATAGGAATGCAAGTAGGGTGGTATCAGTAGGTGGAACCACAAATCTTAAACCCCCTCTCCCCAATCTAAATCTGAGTGTAGTGTACCTTTTTAAAAGGCACTGGGAGGTCCATGATCATCTTCTTGTCTAGCTTAAGTATGTGCATAATGTAGGCCAGAAAGTTCAGTGCTGATTGAACTTTTTGCATTGACCAGCACGGTAATAAAAGTATCCTGCTGTCAGATTTTGCAGAAAAATGTCACTGAGCATGCTCACTTACAGTAGAACATGCCCAGTAGCAACAGCTGAAGCCTTTTGTCACTCACAATTGGTATTCTGTTTAATCATTAGAAGATGTGGGCAAAATAAGTCTAAATTCCTGGGGATCAGGGGAGGACAGATTTCGTAATGTAGTACCTTACATCTGTCTGAGGCCACTGCTTATTGGTCCCAAACGGTATGGTTTTGTTTCCCTTTATGTTCTTCAGGAGGAAATCAGCCCCTTGGAGAATGCCATCGAAACCATGGAGCTGACCAATGAGAAAATTAGCAACAGCGTTCAGCAGCATGCCTGGGACCGGGCCCTTCCAGTGCACCCCCTTTCCATGCTATTGAATGGCATTGTGGATCCAGCTGTCATGGGTGGATACACCAACTACGAGAAGGTCAGCTGCTTCCTTGTCCCTCTGCTGTAAGCTGTGCAGCTGGCACTGTGGGGAGAGAGGGTGATCTCCTGGTTTGTCTGAACAAAAACGAAACAGAGAAGGATACAGTGGAAGGAAGGGGAAGTGCACAAGGCTGAGTGTCTTGCTTACTTGTTTAAGGCATTTCTATACTGCTTCTCCGGGTGGGGGGGGATCTCTTTAGTAGTAATCCATTAAAAAAATTTCCGAAGGACTCTGGGCAGGTTATGTTACGATCAAAATTCAGTGACAAGCCACACTATTCATGAGATGCTTATAAAACATTCTCACCTAAATTACTTAATGTGAACCCCTGTTGTTGAAAGCTAGTTAAAATACAGACCTGTTGCAGGGAACTGTGAACTTCTGTGGAGTAGCCACCAAGAATACCCTTCTGTGTGTGTTGGGGGTACAGCATTTACAAACAGGCAATGTGCTCACAAGAGTGCCATGTTTGCTTTTTCATGCTTTTCAGACAAAAACTGACTTCTAAAGCACCTCGAGGTGGTTAACCCCATACATCATACCAATAGAGGGAGCTGCAGATAAAATGAAAATAAAAGCCATGTCCTGTTTGCAGGCTCAAAAACTAACTGGCAAAGACACACAGGGAAAGGGGATGGTGGGGGGCGGGCAAAATAGAGAAAGGAGATCAGTTTGACTGTGACAGAACAAAGATACCATTTTAAAGAGGCATTTACATCCAGCTGGAGCCGTGCTGATCTTCTCGCCCTGAAACTCTTGCTAAGACAGCTTAGTATAATTATCCATCTTAGCCAGAACATCAGTGAGAGATCAGCCTTGATCCTGAGACCGCTAGAGCGGGATGGGCCCTGAGCATCCTTTCCCTCACCACTGCAGTCATAGCAACCAGCAACTTGGAGAATTTCTTCCAGTTACAGAACCCTACTTTCTTTGGTGCAGAAATATGTTGGGTTAGTACTGAATCTGAAGACTTTGCTTAGCACAGTCTCTGACAATAGACCTCTGGATCGCAACAGTGAGATGAAATAGGTTGTGAAAAACTAGGAACACTGCATGCTATAATAAAAATTAGTTATAATGATTATAGTCAAATCAGTGCAGGGCAGATGGCCTTGGATTGGAATGTTTGCCTGGTATGAAACAATCAGCCTGCCAATGCCAAAAGAAAGGGAAAACCATAGAATTACCAACCAGGGAATATTTGGGGCTGACATTTCTTGACTAATGTGCTAAACTTAGACTTGCAAAAGTAGAAAAGCAGTTAAGGCTCAGAACTGCTGTGGCTACATCTGGAAGTCCTCAACTTTTGCTCACATTTTCCTGTTTCCATTTGGTCGGTGAAGGGCGTTTGGGTTTTGTGGGCTGCCATAATCATCATAGTCTAATTCTTTCTTTTATGTTGATTATCAGAAATTAGACTTTTACTCAGATAGTTTTTCTTTCTCAGTGTAAATGCTAGTAGAAAGTCTGTCATTCTATGGGAGGAGAGCTGTCATGTTTTTAAGATTCTAGTCCGTGGGATCCCTCAAGATTTATCCTTACTGCTTCAGTTCCCCCCAAGCACATTGCTTTCATTTTCTCTGTAAGAGAGAATGACAAGCATTTGTTTATGTGGGAGACGTTAAAAGGCATGCATTGGGGTGAAACCTGCTTCTCGTTCATGTGAACTCAGAGGCAAGAGGTAACTCAGCCAAAATGACCTGTTTATTTTGGCCACTGGGGTTTAATTTAAGAATCAATCTTGTTGCTCTCTGCATACCCCCACCCCCCAGGTTCTGTTTCTTGGTCAGGCAGAAGTGTGACAGAAAGTTGGCAGTGTGAGATGGAATCCTGGAAACCAACATTTTATCTCTTCAACCTTGACACCTTTTTGCCTACTGTCACCAAATGGAATTGAACCTGTGCTAGAGCAGCAAAATGATGCTGTTAAAGCCATTTTTCAGCCTTCCATCTGAGGCCAGTTTGTGCAACTTTTGTTGTTGTTTTGTGGTCGCAAATGGCCCAAGCCATTTGACCAGGGTTTGCATAGGTGTACAGCTGCATGATGAGCTCATGTGGCTCATGTGTCCAACAGTGTGAACCATTTCATGACTGATATCTGTAAATCACTGGAACACATAGCAAATGTGAAGCTGCTTTGCATGGAATCAGAAATTGATCCATCTGGCTCAATATTGGTCTACTCTGATCAGCAGTAGCATTTTGGGTCTCTGGCAGAGGAAGGTTTTTCACATGCTGCCAGAGAACCTTTTATAGTAATTGCTGCATGTTGGAAATGGTGAGCTTTTACCACTGGGCCCAGCGATCAGCTTGGACATATGAAGCTGTGCATCTCAGTGAAAAGATCTGTAATGCACACTGTTTTCCCTAGAAGAGGGCTGGCTGTATATCCATTGTCAGCTGGTAAGGATCATTTCCAAAAGAATGAACCAAGAGTACAGTCCATAAAGTTCTGGACAATTTGTTTTAAAGTATGCACACCCTTAACCCTCAATTCTGAGGTAATTATATACATAAGACTGCGCAGCCACCTACCTACCTATTTAGCTAGTATCATGCCTTTCTTCCAAGGCGCTCAGGATGTTATACATGGTTCTCTGTTCTTCATTTTATCCGCACAACAACCTGTGAGGTTGAGAGAGAGAGTGAATGGCCCAAAGTCACCCAGTGAGCTTCAAGGAAGAATGGGGATTTTGAACCGAGGTCTCCTGGTTTGTCATCTAGCCATTACATCATGCTGATGGATCAGACCAAGGCTTTGTTTCCAAATTGGCCAAATATTTCAGGGTTTTCATTTGCTTTAAAAAAAAAACCCAAAAAACCCCAGGGCAGTTATGATTTTTCCCTTTTCTTTGCTCCCCACCACATTGTTCAGAAGGTTATGTTCATTCAGAATCATGAATGCCTTCGAGCTATCCCTCCTTCAAGACCAGAACTGAGGTTTGGTCAGATCTGTCTATAGAGGTCTATCAAGGAGAAACATCTCCCTCAGACCTCCACATCAGTTGTAGACAGGCCTACTTCAATATCAGACAGGCCTACTTTTTTCAAGAGGTTAGACCTGTGACCCAAAGGAGTGGGCATGATTTGTTAGGATGGTCCACCATTAATGATGAAGAAGAGCCATTCTCCAGCAGTTTTTTTATGTGAGTAAGATCCAGGTGGTCAGCCGTGTTAGTCTGAAGCAGTAGAACAAATTTAGAGTCCAGTGGCACCTTTGAGATCAACAGATTCAAGGTATGCGCTTTCGTGTGCAAGACACACTTTTTCAAATACATTGCAATGGTAGGTAAGGTTCAAACTTATAGACAGGGACTTAACAGCGAATTAACATGTAACATGATGATGTTTAAGGTGTCAGAACTAAATAACAAGCTAAGGTTATAAGGTCAACAGTTGTAAAGCAATAAATATGTCAAAATAGCAGATAAATGTTTGTGAGTAAAGTCTTTACTTTGGAAGGCATATGGTTGCTGCATTTATTTTTAGACTTTTAAAATTATTCCTCTTTTATATATTATTTTTCTTTTACTCTGTTTTTAAATCATCATAAGCTGCTTGGAGTACTGGAAATGCAAATGAAAGTGGATAAGACCCTACCCTGTCTCTTACAATGAGCTGATAGAAAATGGCTTTTCTTAACCAGTTCCCCATTCAGAACTACACCCTCACATATCCTTGTTCTTATTTCCTCTATTCAGGCCTTTTTCACAGAGAAATATATTCAAGAGCACCCTGAAGATCAAGATAAGATTGAACTGCTCAAGCAATTGATTGCCCTACAGGTACCTGCTAGGAGGAGGGGATAAGGTGCTTGGTGGCAATGGATGCTTGCTTTAACATACTTGTCATATTAGCTGTTTGCAAGATCTTCTCCCAAGAAGGTTCGTGCAGTAGCCCAGCATGGAGGAAAGGTGATTTAAATCAATTGCTTTGGTTTAAGTCAGTTGCTTTGGTCTATCCATACTCCTCCAGACAACTGGCAAAACTGTGTCCACCATAACTGGGTTGGGATGTGTCCTTGTTCAGTTCACAAAAGCGCTCAACTCCTGCCTGCCAGTCAGGGCATCATTGCTTGCTTACTTACTTATTTACACACACACCCTATGTATAAGATCCTTGTTGGAAGGAGCCAGATCAGAAGAGGGCAGGGTCTCCCCCCCCCCCATTCACTGCAACAGTGTCCCCCAGCATGGCAATTAATTATCGTTCTATAGGAGTGAGTTCTATGGGAGAAGCTGGAGAGATGCATGGATGCATGTTCAATGACACCATTAGGATAGGGCTGAATTAGCTTCCTCTCTTTGGTGCCTCCAGCCTTCTCACAGCTGAGCTCTTGATTGCAGCCATTGTCTGTAGAGCTGAATGGGAGCAATGTAGAACCAAGCTGCCTCTTACATGCATAACTCCACGGCTTCTACATATCACCATCCTGGGTTCTGCTTCTTGGTCATGCTAGTGTAACAGGGAACCAGCTTTATAAAGAGTAAAATGGTCTTGAGAAATGTATCTGGTGGAAATGGGTCCACCAGTCCTATGCAGAAACATGGACTATGTAGCCTTTGGCTTTCTGCTCTCTGGTAACAATGATACCCCTGTCTGAGCCTTGGCACCGTGTTCTGGATGTTTTGGCAATGCTGTGGTAGCTTTCACTTTTCTATCTGTGCCTCTGATTAAAACAAAACAAAAAAATAGTCACTCCTCCACTGTAAGATTATGCCCAGAGGCTCTGCCTGGAGAATAGTGTTAATAGGAATGAGCTTGAATGTGGCTTGGTGTGATGTTATGGCACAATATGTAGAGAGGTCAGAAAAGCTGTGGGAAAGGGGGATCACCTTCCCAGTGCCCGATGGAACAGCTTGGCCTTTGGATCATGGATTAACCTTTGCCAGCGCTACCAAATTAGCAGAGAGCAACACCTGAAAGAGGAAACGGATGTGGCTTGCACCTCTCATTGCCTCTCAGTCCCATGCTGCTTCTGCTAGGGTTCAAGATGGGCTACATAGTGTCTCTGTGTCTGCCTTGGAGCCTGCAGGGGAGGAGGAGTGCCTGAGGTGGTAAAATGTGTCAGGCCATCCCTGAGTTTTGCCCGTGTTCTTTGTTTCATTTAATAAACTTTATCAGGGCTTTTTTTGTAGAAAAAGCCCAGCAGGAACTCATTAGCATAATAGGCCACACCCAACATCAGGAACCCATTAGCATATTAGGCCACGCCTCTGACAGTGCAATGTATTTGCATATTAGGCCTCACCCCCATGTTACCAGAGGTGTGCTCATCCAGCCACACCCACCTTTTGCTTCTTATTCTGTTTACTTTGTTTGTTGTCAAAACCTAGGGCTTTTTTTGTAGCAGGAACTCCTTTGCATGTTAGGCCACACACCCCTAATGTAGCCAATCCTAATGAGTTTCTGCTGTTGGGTGTGGCCTATTATGCTAATGAGTTCCTGCTGGGCATGGCAAACTTGGGAGCCAGCTGGAACTCCGTTCCTGTGCGTTCCTGCCCAAAAATAGCCCTGAACTTTATTAACACTGTCAGTAGTGATAAGACAACAACACTGTTTCATTATAAATTCAGGGTTCTTCTCTTTCAGATGCCTTTGCTGGCAGAAGGCCTCAGGATTCACGGTGAGAAGCTGACGGAGCAGCTGAAGCCTCTTCACAATAGACTAACTTCCTGCTTCAAGGAGCTGAGAGGGAAAGTGGAGAAGCTCTATGGTGTGATAACTCTGGTAAATGTTTGCAGCCTACTTAAACAAATGTCTTTGGGAAATTATCAGCATTCTGAAGGTTTGCTGTGTGGTCAATAACACATACTGGGAGGAGTGTGTATTATGTGTAGCAGGAGACAAACTTATACGGTATACAAATATATGATAATGAAATAGAAGTAGAATTAAAATCTGTTCCAAATGTAATATCTCGAATACAAATGGGTTCTCCATATGAGATATATGAGGTAACAGCATTCTGTGTGCCTTGGTGTTTAGTCATGTCGGCCACATGACCACGGAAATGTCTTCGGACAGCACTGGCTCTTCGGCTTTGAAACGGAGATGAGCACCGCAACCCTAGAGTTGGATTTGACTGGGTTTCGAGCAAGGGAACCTTTGCCTTTACTATACTACTTATCTATTAATAGTTCTAATGAATATGTAGAAGTTGTGAAAATATGTTAAATTGAATACATAATCATGATGAAACCAGCGTTGTAGGCAAAATAGATTAGTTATGAAGTTTGAAACTTAAAACTTAATTGATGAATAGAATTGTACCCCAACAGAAATAAAAACTATTGTATTTTATAGATAATATCTTTAAAATTACAATGAAGAGGATAAAAGGGAAAATATTCTCCTATATATTATGTACTATATTCAATCAATCAATCAATAAACCTTTAATAGCATATACAGCATTAAATTCAGAAACAGAAGATGACACAGTCAACTAAAAAACTGAAATAATTATAAAATCATGAAACGGAGTTTCCCAAAATTATGTACTATATTATTGTCTTTGATAAATGTAATTATGTAGTATAACTTTTTCTTTTTTCCCTTTTCTGTACCCCTGCCATTTTCCTAAAATAAACAATAAATGACATTAAAATAATGCATACCGGGATACCAGTTGATAATATATGAAAAGCAGATATCAAACTCATGTTTCCTGCTGGCTGATGTCATTTTGTTGAGGAACATCTGTAGCATATGAAAAAATAAGCCCCTTTGTCTGCTCTTCTTTTTTTTAAAAAGTTCAAGATTTTTCATTTCCCTCTTTAAATTTGACCCTCAGCCTTCCTCACTGACTGAGAGAAAGCAGAGCAGGTCTGGATCAGTGGTTTTGCCATACATCATGTCTTCCACGTTGAGAAGGCTCTCAATTACCTCTGTGACTTCCTCCGTCGGATCGACATCATCTACCTCATCAGACAGTACCTCCTCCAGGCCAGGATCAGATGGGTGAGTGAAGTCCATTACGAGAACCAGTGGCAAAGTGAGTACAGTGTTGGAGTGGGGAGAGATCAGACTTCAGATCTCTGCTCAGACATGAGCTCACTGAGAGACCTTGGCCCAGTCACTCCCTTGCTGCCTAACCAGAGAATTGTTGTGAGGGTAAAATGGAGAAAGAGAGAAGCGTGTATTCTGTTCTGAGCTCCTTAGAGTGGGAGGGGAGCAAGAATGTTGTCTATATAGTAAATTGGCTGTAGTAGGGACTGATGCTGAGGATTCTGGGACACACTGAGTGTTTAGAAAATAAGCTGAGAGGAGAGCAGGAGCTGAAGAAGGTCCAGGGCCAGGTCCTCAAGTTATTATTTTCATACAGAAAGTTCTCCACAAAGTGGAGAGCTTGTCTCTGAATGCAGCCTCCCACTGAGATCTACCATGTCCTGGATAAAGAATAAAGTTCTCCATAATTCCATGTGTTCCTATTCAAAAGAAAGGTTAGCTGTGCACAAAGGGCATATAAGAAGTCAGCAGGTGAGCCAGGGATTATGACTAGAGCATGTTGCCAGTGTCAGGGCTCTGCCCTGGAAGACATAAAGTCATACAGAAAAAGAGACTATATCTTGGCATGGACAGAGTGTCTTTCTTTCACCACTAAGCAGCAACCTGTGGATTAGCAGCAAGCATTAGCTTCCAGGCAGGTTAGAGCGTCAGCATTTCTCACTGAGAAATTAAGCTTAAGGGCATCACAAATACACATGAGAATCTGCATAACCTGACATCAGCAGTCGACACAGCCCAGATCAACATAATGAGATTGTTGTGGCTGTCAAACTCTGTTCTCATCAAACTGTGGTGGAAGCAAGTCAAGGAAGGGCAAGAGTGACCCTTTCTTCCAGGGGGACCTAGCAGCAGTCCCCAGTAGCGTCAGACCAGCAAATACAACATAGGGACAGAGGCAGACATCAGTAATAACTTCCTGCAGCTTTGGTTTGTAGTGATGGTGGCAAATCATGGAACCTGGGGGGGGGGGGCATGGCGGGATTCTTACTTCCTCATTTCAGAAATCTACCTCCCTAGTACAAGATTGGACCCAGTAGATACAAAGCCTGGCTGGTGACAAGATTCGTCACATCAGGAGGCAGACCTCATTGTCGGTCCTTCAAGCAAAGGGTGGGGGAAACCAGCAGTGGAAAGGGCTGACTGGCAGGAGAGCCTACAGGGCCTCTCATCAGTTGGGTCAGGAGTGTCACTTTTTGGCCAGAGTGCTTGAATCTGTAGTTTGCTGTGGGGCCTTAGGTTTGGAATAGCACTTTCCCTTCCCTTGGAAGATTTGTCTCCTGTTTTCACAATATTTCATCTACATAAGTAGACATTTATGAGCTGTTCGCAAGCTGGTGAGAGGGGCCGGGGGTCACCCTCCCTGTGTGTCTTCCCATGTGGGTTTCAGATCCATTCTTGAGCCTCTTATGGAAAGGAGGATTTCAGCAGCCTCCAGGACAGAAGAACTCTCTGCCAAAGACGATGGTGAGAACCGGATTAATAAATTCAAGCGGAAGGAATGGAGCATCAGCAAATCGCAGGTCATTGTGGAGAAGGAGCCAGAGGCTGAGCTGGCGTCCAAAATGGTAATAAATGAGTTACAGTAGTGAAATTCCCTATGGGAACATCCATCTCTTTTTTTTTCTTGTAGTTGCTTGATTCTTTTTGAAAATGCTGGGGAGGGTTCAAATACCAGACGTCTTGGTCACTACACATAAATCAACTTTGCCTTAATTTTCTTGGCTGCCGTTGACCCACCTCTAAGCCCATGAAGGCTCCAGCTGCAAATGAATATTACCAGGTTTCAACTGGGGAGCAACACTTGGATATCATTCTTAAATATCCCGATGTTCCCGGAGCCGAGCAAAAGCCCAGTGTCAGACTTCAACGAAATGCTCACTGAGACGTTGTCCAGACTGTGCCACCTTCAATTGCAAATTCAGGCTTACAAGGCTGAATGTTCCTTCATGCAAAAGAATACTCTTTGTACATAGACAAGGAAGGCTGGAGCTCATCTACCAGACATACTAGCTTTCTGTTTACAAAGGACTCTGTGCAGGAGCATTCAGTCATGTGCACCTCCACTTGAAGTGTTATAGCACAAATACAACATGCCTTCATTGGGAACTAGGTCTCAATCCTAATCAGAATCTGGATGGATTTTGTGCTGAAAAAGAGAGATGCAGCTGAATCACATCTCTGCTGTTTTTGGTCTTTCACGGTACACGGGACTTTTTTTGTAGAAAAAGCCCAGCAGAAACTCATTAGCATAATAGGTCATACCCAACAGCAGGAACTCATTAGCATATTAGGCCACACCCATGACAGCACAGCTCATTAGCATATTATGCCACACCCCCGCACTACCAGAAGTGTGGTCATCCAGCCACACCCACCTTTTGCTTCTTATTCTGTTGACCTTGTTTGTTGTCAAAGCCCAGGGCTTTTTTTGGAGCAGGAACTCCTTTGCATGTTAGGCCACACACCCCTATTGTAGCCAACCCTAATGAGTTCCTGCTGTTGGGTGTGGCCTGTTATGCTAATGAGTTCCTGCTGGGTGTGGCCAACTTGGGAGCCAGCCAGAACTCCGTTCCTGTGCGTTCCTGCCCAAAAATAGCCCTGACGGTACATACACAACTGCCTTAGACCAAGTCAAACCCTTGGTCCATGATGTTCAGTGGTGTCTCCTCTGACTGGTAGTGACTCTCCCGGGTCTCAGGCATAGAGGGTGGGTCCCAGCCCTGCTGTTCGAGTTCCTGGAGGTGTAATGGATTGAATTTGGGACCTTCTTCATGCAAAGCATGCATTCTGCCACTGAGCAATGGCCCCTCTCCTGTGTTCTATTTACATCATTTGTGTGCTGGCTTTCTCCCTGAAGGGATCTAAAGCAGCTCTCAGACAGATACCAAATGCACATGAGGAACTTCAGAAGTAGAATTTGCACATATAAGCCACATCTGTATATGGTGCAGAAACATGCAGCTTCTCATGAAACCTTCCTGGATCCAGTTTGACATCATGCAACACTTGGGTCCATGCTGGACCTTCAAGCAAAGTTTTTCTGACAACTGTGGATTGTTATGTTTTCAGCATCTGTAGCACCTTCAGTAAAGTCTTCTGTTTGATCTGTGTGTTTCAGAATTTGTTGGGGAAAGCAAGGCCAAAGAGTCTCCAGCTGGGGGAAAGCAGACTGACACTGCTTCAGGCTTCATCACTCCAGCAGGACACGCCTCTCAGCCCACCACCAATTACTCCAAAAACTCCAAGAACACAAAGTGAGCTATGCAGTTTCTTTCCTTTCAAACAAAACTTGTGGGATTTTTTTTTTTTTGGGGGGGGGGAGAATTGCTTATGGCCTTGATCCAATTTCAAGATACAATTTTGTACAACGAGAGACCTTTAGAAAAGTTTTGCCATTCTGCTTTCTCAGAAATGGTGAAGGCTAGAAACCTTACCTGTAGCTGGATCTCCAGCATGGTAGTAGAAAAGAGACTCTTAGCTCTCCCCTCCTTTGTATAACCAGAGTTTTCAAAATAAGTAATAATCTGTAGAGCCTGGCCAGCAGATCCATGGCCCTCCTGGAAAAGTCTGGAAACTGATGGTTATGGTGGATTGGGAAGATCCACCTACAATCAAGAGAAGAATGGGAAATTGTGCCTCCCACCACCTTACTGTGAGCACTTCTGAAGCTCGATGAGTAGACTGATCACCTGCTGGACTTTGGAAACTTTTTGGAACTGTGAGACTTTTCTTTGCTTCAGAGCCCAGCAGGACTTACTTGCATGTGCCCCCCCCCCCATCTTTCTTCCAAGCTTGTAAGAAAAGCTGATGGCTCAATTTTATATCACACTGGGTTTTAGAGGAGATCAAGAAACAGTATTACTGCTTCCTGGCATCTGAAGTCCAGTGTGAGGTCAGAGGCGAGCCCCATCCATCTCTCACTTTGCACTCACCAAGTTAATGCACTAAAGGCCTAACACGATACACAGTCTTTGAGATAGGTCTAGGTGTGACATGAGGACCGTCAGACAGTCTTGCGCTTGCCCATTCCCTGCTTGAAACAGGGCTGATTCTCTTATCCCATCACTAGGAGGTAGTCCAAGAAAAGACTTCAGACAAAGTCTGATGAGAGAGAAATCCCCTCCGGACATTTGTAGTGTCATTCTGGATTTCATTTTCTATTGTCCCCGGTGTGCATTTTTCACATGTGCTTAGGTTCATTTGATGAGCAGAGCCAAGACTTCAGAGACATTTCAGTCTGGGGAATTGCAAGCGGGCTTCCAAACTGACCCATCTGTTCACAGCCACCTGCTAAAAATGGTGTGTTTACATGTTAACATTTTAATATTGCGTGGTCACTCTCGTATGTTGTTTCCATCCATACCCCATATTTCCCACTGTCTATTTTAACCATAAAAACCTTTATTTTTCTTCTCCTTTTCTTCCTTAGGTGTTCCATCTTTGCAAGCAGATGGATTAGTAGTCATGAATGCACAGAACCCTCCACCCCCGCCTCCACCCAAGTGCAAACCCTATGAGAACAGCAACGGGAGGAACTCCACGGAGGTAAGGAAATGGAAAGTGACATGATTTTGATCCTCTTGCTTGAGAAAGCGGCACCAGGGCCATTTTCCCAGTGGTTTTGGTAGGGTGGTGCTGTTTAGAAGCTGTCTGTTCCGTTCACTGGCTCATTTCCTGAAACCACTAGAGAATTTTGAAAAGTTTTCCATTCAAAGGAGACTGTAATATAAAGTTCTACTTTTTTCCTGCTTAGGCAAAATCTGCTTACTGTGATGGTGAAGTTGCTGGTGAAAAAGGGAGTCTCGTGTTGACACTCCCCCCCCTCTGCCCATGTAGTTGATGTTTAGAGTACAACTTATCCCTGAGGTTGTTATAATAAATCTTAGCATTTGATGTAGCACTTTCTGAGTCGTCGTAGCACTTCTTGCACTATCTTGCAGTCTTTATCACAACCCTGTAAAGCAGGTCACTATTGCTATGCCCACACTGCAGATCGTGGAGGCTGAGCGTGAAAGCCAGGACGGCGCAATGATTAAAATGCTGGATTAGGAGCGGGGAGACCTAAGTTCAAATTCCCACTCAGCCATGAAGCTCTCTGTGGGTGACTGTGGGCCAGTCACTTTCTCTCTCGGACTAATCTCCCTCATGAGGTTGTTGCAAAATAAAGTGGAACACAAAAGAACCACATATTCCTCCTTGAGGAAGGGCAGGTAGGGAGAGAGGGGCTTGCTCAAGATCACCCACTGAGCCGTGACTGACATGCGACTTGAAACTTTCATCTTCCTGATTTGCAGCTCAGTCCCCTGGTCGCTGTGGGCTTCCCTCCTAGACCTGCATAGTGACTTGCTGCTTTAAAAAAAAATAGTTCCAAGGCATCTTTTGGCAGCCTCAATTAGGAGTGAAATACTTGTAGATAATTTTATGATGTAATAATCTAAAATTATGTAGAATAAATTAGTGCAATCAACACAGGTTTTATCTCTGTAGCAATGTGGGTCTTACATTCCTATTGTATATATGTAGATGTATAAAATAAAATAAAAATTTAAAGAAAAGGAGAAGAGCCCCTGCAGTTCCAGAGAGCTTAGTGCCCAGCCTCAGGCCTTGAAATTCCAACCTGATGTCTCCGTTCTGCAGATATAGCCCACCTGGCTGCTTTTTGTGCCACCACCTTATAAGGTGAGGCAGGTGGCTATTAGACAGGGCCTTCTTTGGCGTGGCATCATGTGCAGAAACTCCCTCCCTGTATTGTTTCACCTATTGCCTTTGTCATCAGCTAATAATCATCAGGGGTGGGGGGGAGGCTTCCCCCCCTCATTCTCTTTGGTGGTTTAAATATTTGCTGTGCTGCTGATGCTGACGTCACTGCAGGTTTTACTTGAATTTGATTAATGCTTTTGGTTTTATTTTTGACTTCATCATATTATGAGCTGCCTAAAGGACTGTGTTAGAAGAAGGCATAGAAATGTTGTGAATACATAAATAATAACTATGCTGTTGGGAAGCACATGCATGATCTCTTTGTGAGCATGAAATGTTGTGATGGAAGTGGTATCCCCAGTTAAAGAAATCTTAGTCCGTATGGAAAAAAATAATATCAATTGACTATTCCATGACAATTTACATCAATTTGAAAATAAGTAAAAGCAAATGGCTTTTTCAGATCGGGGGTGTGTGTGAGAGAGAGGGAGAGAGAGAGTGACCGCACATGGCATCTTAGGTAGGCCTGGTCTACCCATGCAGCAGGAAAGCTGTACCACTTCAGACTGTAGATGGGGAAAACAAGTTTTTACATTTTCACCCCTGTAAAGACTTACAACAAACTAAAAATTAACACACCCAGGAGAAAGGGTCTAGCCCCATCCCTTTTATGCTGTGTTGGTTTTCCATTGACAGGGAATCCTTAATGTAAGGGAGCTGTGAACAATAGCATCCCTCACCTGAAGTCTTAAGTGGTACAATCCAGTCTGCCACCTCAGCATTCTGCCACCTCATTCCACCATGTGCCTTGACCAGACCTTAAAAGAGGAATTCCAAGTGCTTATTTAACACAGGATACAATGCCTTTGTTGGCAGTTTTTTATATTAAAAATGTGTTTTTAAATATGTGTGTGTGTGTGTGTGTGTGTGTGTTGGCTGGTGAATCAGGGTGCTTTCTTTAGTTGATTAAAAAAAAACCCATTTAAATCAGTTCAAACTGCAACAAGAAGTGTTCCAGTTCTGATCCTGTGAATCAGACATTGGACGTCAAAATAAAGCCAGTATGGTGGCTTTACCATACTGATGGTGTGTATATGTGTTTGCCTTATTCCAGATTGCGCCACCATTACCCAGCAGGCGGGAAGTCAGGCCTCCCCCTCCTCCTCCAAAAGCAAGGAAATCCAGTGTCCTTTCTTCAGAGCAGGGACTTCAGTGAGACTTCCATGCCAGCCTCAGCTCTCTTGCACCTTGAACAAAATGCCTGCTGTCCTGTTTGTAAATATGTGCCATGCATGTCCCAGTGATTTTCCTCCAGATGAAAGGACAAAATGATTCCAACCTCTGCTCCATTCTCTGCGGTTTCTTTACGCCATGCCAAAATACGTCATTTAAACCACGACAGTTTCCAAGCTTCTGACTTTCCTTGTTTGCACATTTAAGACACTCTGGTCTTCCTCACGTCAGAGCTGCAAAGCGTTCAGCTAACTCAAAACATTTCATAGCATGAGCTTGGTGATTCCGGTCCTTTGGAGTTTTCATGCTGCCAGTAAAACAGCAGGGGTGTGAAGAATCCTTGCGCTGCCCACCATAGAGGTTCAGCCTGGCGTTCTAAAGAGTGTTAAGGTGGCCTTTGATCTCTACACTGCTGCACCGGATTTGCATAAAGAATTCATACCTGCCCCAGCAAAAGAGACCTGGAATAGATAGGCCATGAATCTGCAGAGAACAAAACCAACTGCAGTTTCCTAAAAGCAACCTGCAGAGATTTAGAAGATGTGCTCAGTTTGGCTAAGGACTGGGGCTTGACCTGGCAACCTCCAGGTCTGAGTTTTGGACTCGGTCTGGTGAGCTACTGTTACCTTTTTGTGCTCAGATTCAAAGCACAGAAGGGAATCTGAGTGTGCAAGATTGGCCTCTGTGACTGGCAGGCAGGCGGGAAGACACCGTTGAATTGGCCGGCCTTAGTATAAATGTTAGGAGCCTGGTCACTTGCCTTTGGCTGTTCAACAGAATAGTGCCTTCTCCTTGTTTACCTTCAGGTTCCAGCATCCAATCAAATCACTGGGTTTGGGAAGCCTAACCTGAAAGTTATACCCCGCATCTTCAACCAGTGGCCCTCTCCTATCCCTGACCAGAGAAAGCAAATTCTGTGCCTAGGTACTTGGCTTTGGCAAGAGCATCAGTATATAGCAACAGAAGGCTCCTGAGGGTTTTGCTGGACATCTGTTGCTGCAGAGGAGGACAATACTACCTGTGCTTGGACCAGCTTGTTGTTTCTTTCTCAAGACTTTGCCGTCATTCTTTCTGTGGATTCATCAATTGTTTTATAGCTATCTGAACTTTGCACACACACAGGGTTAAGTACACTACTACGGCTTCATTCCACTTAAATTCTTTTGATGTATATTTTTACATAATAGCTGTTTGCCTTACAAGACTGACGTACTGGTGTAATTATCATTGTGAATAGTTCATTTAGAGGACAACTTTCGTACAATGGTGCTGCTTGACCTCCCAAACCGACATCCATAATCCAAGACCAGTCAGCCACTAAGATGTCCAACGGAACTCTTCACTGACCTTCAAATGTACATACCTGCGTCATTTTCTAAATCTGTACTGCTTTTGCTCTTGTTAAGTCTCTTGTAAAATAATGTCTCTGTATTTCCTCCTTTCATACCAAAAGCTCGGGGTTCAGTCCACTTAGGACTCAGAAACATTTGAAAAGTAATCCAGGTGGTTGGACAACTTCATTCACAGCCATTTAGGTTTGGGTTCCAATGTAAACTATTTAGCAAGCCACTATTTTCCAGCAATATCTATTTAGACATCCTTTGTCAGAGCTTCTTAGCAACTGGTTGTGTTGGTCATCTCCTTTCCATGTCCACATTCTCAAGAGTACATCAGAAGACTTTCACCAAGTTTTGGTCGTGAAATCTCACTATCGTTTTTCAAATCAGTGTTCAGGGAGAATCACTGTAAGAGGAGAATCATAATTTGTTGTTGTTTGTCCTGTTGAGAGAAGGCTGTGCGTTTACAGTGTTTGCCCTTCCTTAACTTTTGTCGAAAAACCACCAGCAGTAATTTGGGCCGCTCAGCTTCACGAGGCTGTCAGTTTACTGAACTCGGCCCTTCTTTTCCAAAGAGCTTTGTATGTTTCTCAGCTTCAGCACCTCAAGTCATTCAAGCTGACTTGACTTGAACTAAGAGGCTACCCACAGGCCATCACTTGGGCCTTGAGTATGCCACTCAACACTTTCTCCATCCTACGGGTTATCATGATGTCTGCTTTGCCCACTGCAAAAATTCTAGCTAATCACCACATTCTTACTTTGGCTTTCATTCCTCTCTTTGCTCTCAGCTATACATTCATTTTCATTTGTTACATTTGCCACATAACTCTTCTTCCAAGGAGTCCAGGGTGGCATGCATGGGAGTTTATCCTCTTACAGCCACAACAGTCCTGCAGTGTAAGCCCACACGGAGAGATGGTGTAACTCCCTGGCCTTGTCTGGTTGGGATTTGAACCCACTCTCTTGTGTCACCTAATTCTAACTCCACTCCTTTCCTCCTGCTCTCCCCGTAACCAAATTGCAACATGTACAGTCTGAATATATGTGCCCATATTTGCTTAATTCTGAGCAAAGCTGATTTTTTTAGGATACACAAAATACAGCTGGAGCAGCTTTTCACACTGGTTGCAAAAGAAAGTAGCTTCCCCACTGCATTTTGATACGCTTTCAAGTCCATAAGATGGCAATCTCATCACAATAGTCCTTCTCCTTGTTCGATCGAGGCTTCTTTTCTAGTCCATTTCTGTCTTCCCCTTGTTGCTTGGGTGCCTTCAAAAAACAGATTGCTTACGTTAGAGGGTCATATTGGATTCACATCACAAACCATGCTGTAGATGTTTTCAAAGTCACACAGGAGACTTATCACATGTGCCTCCATCTGTGCCGGTTTCAGTGTGCATGCAACTCTCTTATGTGCTGCTCTCTTCCTCTGGGGGGAAGCTTGGGGAACCATCCTGGCCATTTTGGCCATATCTCCCTCTTTGGTTGCATGGCAGATGTTTCCAGTTCTGCATTAAAATTCCTGGAGATGGATGCTTCTTGACTTGAAAGCCTCTGGGCTTTGTTAACTACCTTTTTTCCTGCTGTCCCAGGCTGTGCATACATTGTGCATACGATACAGAAGTTCTGTGTCCTGAATACGTTTCTCAACCCAAATCCATCACCAACTTTTGAATGGCATTTTGCCTGCGCACAGACTGCGTGGCACATATCGGGTACAAGTGCAGTCCTGTGGCAAGTTCTGCAGTTAGTGGTGTAAGGGCAGGGCACGATCGTGTTCAGGGGCAGCAATGACTCTCGACCCAGCCTTTACTGCTGATCTACAAAATATCCTTCCTACCGATTGCATTTTTATCCTGTCTTTTTGGCATTGCTCTCAAGACAGATTATGTGCCTGTCCCCTGTTCCATTTTACTCTCTCAGCAATGCTGTGAGGTGGGTCAGGCTTGGCCCAAAGTCACCCAATGAGCTTCATGGCTGAGTCAGACTTTGAACCTGGGTCTGACCTCTGCCCCATATTTGCTTTTCTGGGGAGAGGTGTTGAGTGAGAAGCGAGGTACTTGTCTGCAACCTCCTCCCTGTCCCAGCTACTTTCCCCCTACACCAGGGGTGGCCAAACGTGCTTAACATAACAGCCACACAGAATAAACGTCAGATGTTTGAGAGCAGCAAGACATGAACAAAAACACACGTTTTTTTATTGAAAAACATGCAAATTTGCTTTTCATTAACATTAAATTAGACTCTGAAAGAGCCACGTGCGGCTCCCGAACTGCAGTTTGGCCACCCCTGCCCTACAACCTTGGGCGAGCATGTCTCAAAACCTTGCCCTGGGGAAAAGCATCCAGGAGTCAGGTTTGTGGAAGAAACCCAGGGAATGCCACTTCTCCCTTGCAAATGTTTCTCTCCTGGCCACTTTGTCACCCACAAACACAGGGTCATGATGAATTCCCTGCCTCCAAACATGTAGAATATAGTATTCTGCCAAGTTGTGTTTATTGCACTGACAGTGCAATAGGACAGTGCAATAGGACAGTGGTATGAGAAGGTGGGTAATGTCCCTTTCTTCCCAAATCTCCACTATACCAAGAAGCTTGCTGGGTGACCTTGGGTTGGCCACGGTCTCTCAGCCTAACCTATTTTAAAGGGTGGTGGTTCGGATCAAATGGAAAGAGACAGCTTATGCCATGCTGAGGTCCTCAGAGAGATGGAATAAAAGGCACTAAATAAATAAAATTGGCAGCCACTTGTGGAAGTCCCTGCTTTGCAGGTAAGAAGAGTTGGTTTTCTTGTAGGTACGCATCACAGTGGCCTTGAACCATCACAACTTGCTTAGGGTTGTGTGCATTCTTTCACGATGGACGCTTTAGGTATCTTGCACTACACCTTTGTGTCATTAGTGATATGATGCTGAATGGGAATGTAATTTCCCCTGAGACTTGCAAGCCAAGCAACATCCCACCCCACCCCATCTGGTTCTCCAGTATGCATATTCAGTGGAGACTTTTGCAAATGTACATGGGGTAGACTGTCAGTCAAGTTAATAACAATGAGGTGAAACAAATGAAACTTGGGAGGAGTATAAGTCAGAACAAACCCAGGCTATTGGTAAATGCAAATCCTATTAAAGGTGATGAAATGGCTTTAGAGTGGAGGATGACGCAGCCCCTGCATTGAGTATCAGACCCTTCGGCCACTTCTTGCACCAGTGTGATCTCATCAGGCTACACTTGTCTCCCCCTCTGTATGGGGACTAGGGCAGGAATTCCACCCTTAGCATTGATATGGTACCAGGTAAGCCAAAAGGTTGAAAAGACCGGAAAGCCCATAGTGTGGCCATGTATCTGCAATGCTCTGCAGGCTCAATCTCTTTTCGTCTTTGTGTTGCAATCTGTATCATGCAGTTGGATGATCTGGTGGGGAAGAACAAGGCCCACCCCTCTGTGCTTGGAATTCTGCTATGTGATTGGAATGCTTGTGTTGTACAGTGGAGCCAGCAGGCCGCACATTGGGTTGTATTCCAAAGCCCATTGCATTCCTTAAATACATTCATTGTGTGTATAGGTTGTGAGACTAAAATGGAGGGGCAGAGAGTGATGTAAGCCGCTTTGGGTCCCCCTTGGGGAGAAAGGCAGGATATATATGAAGTAAATAAACAACTTGTCATGCCACTGAAACAGCAGCATCATGTGTAATATTGTCACGTGAAGGCTGTTTTGGGAGGTGGAGAACCTCCTTTGAGGGGTGTTCTGGAGTGTGAAGAAAAGGCCAAAATATCTGAAGCACATAGTAATGGCAACTGAGTGTTAAATGTTTTCCCATTTTTGTCCCACATTAATTAAGTTAAAAGCTATTTTCAGTTTCGCCGGATTGACTTGCCTTATTTATTTTTATAACTGTAAATTAAAATTAAAAGTTTGATTATGCCTACATACTTTTTACTGTGGTCTTTGTGAATGCTGATGTTTCATTTTAAAGTGTCTGCCTCTATTAGATCCCCCCCCCCATGTATTTCCATCTCTATACACTTTCTCTCTCATGGGTAATATTGGTACTTCCATCAGCAGTTGATCTTCCTGTTACGCTAGTCCGGAAGGACCAGAGGATGGAGTGGCTGGGCTGCAGAAGGCTGTAGATTCTTTCCTGTGTTGCTCCAGTGAGTAATAGTAACCCATAAAGAGGAAATACATGAAGATGTGGTACCGGTTGCAGGAAAGTAGAGCTGCCAAAAAAATTCTGGTACAGTGGCTGAATTTACCGTGCCAGCCCTACCAGCGTATCGGGGCTATCAGTGTAGTAATCACCCTCCAAATCTGTGATTAGTGGCTGATCAGGTTTCAGATTGCAAACTCGCATTTTTCAGGCTGCTTCTGCAGTAAATATATAGGGCAGACATGTAGGGGCCTGACACATTACAGGGATGGTGTGGGGATAAAAATGGGGGAAGGAAAAACCATGCATGCCACCCTGAGCTCCTTGGAGGAAGGAGGGGATAAAAATGCTGCTCTGGATTGATCTGTAGTAAGTCTGGTATGTTAGTTTTATAGATGGTACTTTAAGTGATTTTAAGATTTTAACATTCTTTATTGATAGATCGAGATGGGTAGGTAGCCGTGTTAGTCTGTCTGTAGCAGTAGAATGCAAGAGTCCAGGAGCACCTTAAAGACTAACAAAATTTGTGGCAGGGGATGAGCCTTCGTGAGTCACTGCTCACTTCTTCAGTTTTTTTGTTGTAAGCCACATTGGACAGTTCAAGGGAGTAGTGGAGTATACGTTCTCTAAATATTGGCGTGCATACTTTAAATATTGACTATTGGTTCATGTTGATAATATTTATTAAAGTTAATATAGACACAAGAAGTCCATTAATATGGTTCCTTTTTCAAATGAAATTCAAGTCTCAAGATACTCCTGCACATTCCACATTATACAGCAAAACACACGTCGGAGTTTGTCGCTAAACTTCATACATTTCTTTCTGGAGATTTAAATCTTCTTTTGCCCAGCCTCCCTGTCAATCAGACTTGCCTGAAATGCACAATATGTGTATAATTTTAGAGGAGAAAGGGTTTTTTTTTAAAGATTAAACACTCAAACTTCAGATATCCGCAAGCATCATATCATATTCAGTGTATTTTGTCAAGGATTAGTCATCAGCTTCTAACACATTAGATATTAGAAAGCTAGGGAAGAATCTTGACCCAGTCTGTGTTGTTAACATGAGACTGATGAATACTGGAAACTGAAAAACCAGGATAGCACCCTTAGGACGTCAGAGCAGGACTGGGGAAGCCAAGATTGAATCCCTATTCATCTATGAAACTCACCGGGTGACTTCAGGCCACCTGTTCCCTATTAGCCCAGTCTATCTTTCAAACTGATTGTGAGGATAAAACAAGGGAGGGGACAGGGAAACCCATGTGTACTACCTTTGGCTCTACAAAGGAAAGGTTTATACTGTAAGCTGCCTTGAGTTCCACAAGGGGAAGAGGTGGCTAATAAATGTTTTAAATAAAATTAAAATAAATTAGAAAAATGCGATAAACAAGTAGGGGTCTGCTCACCTAGTCCTGAACCTCAGGGGTCTACCACAACCGCTTAATTGACTTGACTATGGAGGTTTGGGGCTAGAAATCCATTCATCTAGCTCATGTAGCTGAGTGGGACAACATGGGAGGGGACAGTATTATCTCTTCCTCACTATGCTATGGGGTGAAGGAAGAACTGGGGTTAGAGAACAGTTTTTTTTATTCCCCAATATAGTTTTTTACCCCTTTTCTAACTTATTGTAAGGCAGTGATCCCCACCACAGTGTCTATGGGAATCATGGTGCCCTCTGTGTTTCCTGGCACCAACTTACTTTCCCCCTAAAAATGCCTCTTCTTCAAAGTAAAAGGCTAATCCTGGCTATCCTCATTGGAGCAGGAGGTGCTTCAGAAGACCCAGGAAGTATCCACCTTTGGGTCTGCCCATTTGGAAATCGATGCCCCCATCATAGGAACCTGACTCGGAACTTCCCAACATTTTGTCATTGATTCCCCCACACACACCTGTGGCAGTCATTTGGTAAATGGTCTTGTCCCCCAAGGTGGGCATTTTGTTGCCCTCTGCCCTTTCTCAAAATTCCAAAAGCACCAACTGGCAACTTTCAGAACTCTGCTAAAATCCCATGGTTTGTAGAGGGGCTGGCATTTGGATGTCAGCAGTGTTTAGTGTGACTTCTGAATTCCACATCATAATCAATGTATCTAATTCTCAAGATGGCCCCATCTGTGGATACTTAAATTCAGAGATAGGAGCCATAGAAAGACAAGGCAGACCTTTCTACAAACCTGAGAAAAGCCCCAGGTTTGCAGAAAAAAACCTGAAATGTAAAAGAAAATGCATTGGATTGTGTGTGTGTCTATAGTGCCATCAAGCCACAGCTGACTCATAGGGTGCATTCAGACAGGGGATTTACAACGGTTAGGGTGCCGGTTCCAACCGGTGTACTTACGGGCGTTCACACGGTGAACATCTGCCTCCCGTCCCTAACCGTTGTAAATCCCTTTAAACGGTTGCACTCTGCCACTAGGTCCCAAGTGGTGGTAAACTGAGTGCAACGGTTGTAAACGGTACACCCCAGCGTCTGATCGCTCTCCTCCATTGCAGAGACACTTCCGGCGGAAGCCTGAGGCTTCCGGCTTTCCCCCGCCATTTTTTAAAAAAACTAAGCGATATGCGCTCGGGCGAAGCTTCGCCCTGAGCGTTTGTTTTTTTTAAAAAAAGCCCTTAGTTTAACTTCCCCGAGGAGTCCGGGACTACAGGGAGGCCAGGTTGGGCTTTAAACTTTAAAGGTAAGTGCTTACCTTTAAAGTTTAAATATAATCGGGGGGGGGGGGTTTGAGCATGCACAAAGATCGCCATTCTCTGAATGGCTGCCTATGCGCATGCTCAAACTGTGCTTTAAAAAAAAACACCAAACACCAACGCCCGCAGCGTGTGAGCGGGCGTCCAACGGAGGGATCCGGAAGATGGAGGTAAGTGTGGTCGCGTTTATGCCAGCAGAAACGCCCTGTCTGAACGCACCCATAGTGACCCCAGCAAGGGGCTTTCAAGGCAAGTGAGAAGCAGAAGTTGTTTTCTGTTGCCTTTCTGTACAGAGTTTCCCTTGGTGGTCCCCCATTCAAGTACTGACCCAGCTTAGCTTCCAAGATCTGATGAGATCAGGCCATACCATGTCATCTTTCTTCCCCATAGCAGAGATTTAAAAACCCAAAATAATAAAAGTAGTGCCAGTAGCTTTAAGAAATGAACACCTCAGTGGCTGTTGCTAGGCAACCACAACATTATCTCCAGTCTTCCAGCCTTGGTTTCTGTCAATAAAAGTTGGGGGAGGGCCATTTTGGCCTTTGGAGGAAGACTCATCAAAGCCAGGCATGGCAGCAACCACCAGGCAATTCACTATCACCTGACTTATTTGACTCACTAGGATGGGCTTCTTGCTACTGCTAAACAGTTATCACCCCACAGAAGCCAGGGTTGTGTAGTGTTAGAGGTTCAGACTAGGATCTGGCAGACTCAAGTTAAAATTCCCATTCTGCCATAGAAACTCACTGGGTGACCTTGGGCCAATCTCAGCCTAACCTCATCACAGGATTGTTGTGAGGATAAAATGTAGGAGAGGAGAACGCTGTAAGCTGCTTTGTTCCCCACTGTGGACAAAGGTTGTGTGTAAATTAATAAATAAATACAACCTAAAGAGGGGGATGAGTTAATGGCTAATTGATGGGTAGGTGGGAAGGAAGCATAGAAAGGTATTGATATAGGGGTTGCCATGAGGAGAAAAATAAGAAATAGTTGGGGAGGGCCTACAGGGGAAATTGAGGTGCCTGCCCCAAATCCCTGTGGGTTCAGCGCCATGGAGGAAGCCACAGTTTTCTTTCCAGGGAGAGGTTGTCAGGGGAGGAGTAGGAGAGAAAGCTGAAGACATTGGGGCCAGATAAAGGTAGGTAGGTGGGTGGGTGGGAAAGAAGGAGAAAAGGGGAAGTGGCTTGGAGGCTTTCAGGGAAGGGAAAGAGGAAATAGTGGTGAAGGGGAAATGAAATGGCCCCCACAAGTCCTTGCACTCTCCCCCCTTGTTGTACACTAATAGGCACATGTAACAGGTTGTTACTGCTTGATCTTAAAGTGCAGGGAGGGTAACAAAGGGGAGGAGATGCTCCCTCAAGAATCCCAGATACAAAGCCCTGACCTGGATAGCTCTCATCAGATCTCAGAAGCCTGATCGTATCAGATCTCGGACCCTGGCAAGCAATTGGAAGGGAGATCTCTAAGGAACACCAGGGCTCGAGACGCAGAGGCAGCCTAAAGGTAAAGATTCCCTTGCTTGAAAGCCAGTCGAATCCGACTCTAGGGTTGCGGTGCTCATCTCCGTTTCAAAGCCGAAGAGCCAGCGCTGTCCGAAGACGTTTCCGTGGTCAAGTGGCCGGCATGACTAAACACCAAGGCGCACAGAACGCTGTTACCTTCCCACCGAAGTGGTACCTATTTATCTACTTGCAATTTCTTGCTTTCGAACTGCTAGGTTGGCAGGAGCTGGAACTAGAGACGGGAGCTCACGCCATCTTGTGGCACCCGGGTCTCGAACTGCTGAACTACTGACCTTCCACAGCCTGCAGTTCAGTGTCTTAACCACTTGAGCCACCGCAGCAGCCTACCTCTCTGGAAAACATCCAAGCCCCCAGTAGGGGTCACCATGACTTCCAGGCATACAAGCATGCACACACACAAATACCCCCCCCAAAAAAAGAATCTCAAATACAGATATTGCTTTTGAACACCTTTGCATAATTTGTATTAATTATACAACACTTGAGTCTTTTAAGAGAAAAATTAGAGTAAAATACTTCAAAACCCATTTTACTTACTAAGGCTCCTTTAAGTCCTCGTAATGTGGGGCGCTGATGTGTGGCGGTGCATTCAAAATGCTGCAGCTCCCCCAGTTTGTCCATCTCATTTGCCATCTACGTAACAGGAAAATGTATTTGATAAGGAGATGAAATTCTAGGTATCCTAGTCATTGGGGAGGGGGGCATAGAGCTGAGCAACAAATGCAGTTTAACTTTGGGCCTGGGTATCGTAATGGGTGTATGTGTGCACAGACACACCCATTGCGATGGCTGTTTGCAGACGCGGCAAGTTTACCTCTTGGAAAGATTCTATCAGGTTTTCAGCATCTCTTTTTCCTCCTGGTTGCAGGCCATACGACCAGTGCTGTGCGAAGCCAATTGCACCACATACGAGCAACAGAAGGAAGCTTGTGAACACCCTCCCCATCTTCTTTAGCCTGCAAATGATGAAAAGGAACAGGCTTATCCAAAACAAATGGACAAAAAAAGCATGGAAACCTCTCAAACAATATTGAACATGAAAGATACAATAAATTTGAGTACATTACCTGATTCAGGGATAGGAGCAATGCACGGAATAAGACTTCTCCGGTGACTTCTTCATGGGTCTCATCACAGTGCTTTTATATGAACCCCTTCTTCACAGGAGGCCATCTCTGTCTCTCACATGCTGATGGTAATTGCAGCCTTTGATTGTCACGATAGCGCTTGAAAGGAAGCAAGCAATTGGGACTCCAGTGTCTTTAGCTGATAAATGCAGTTAATCTTTCCCCTAAAACCCATCAGAGGCCTTTTGTTAAAATAGATTGTACAACAGAGAGATTCAAGCCCAGGTGATTCTGCCATTTCTCTAGGGAAGCGGGGGATTCTTGGATGCCCCAACAACTTTCGAGAGTTTTGAAATGTCCCGATGAAGCAATAGATTTCTTTGAAATATCACCGACTGAGTTTATTACACAAGAAAGATGTGCTAGTGGGACTGAATGGGCCCAATTTGGGTCTCTGCTAGAGAAACAGGTGCTGCGGTGGCTCAAGTGGTTAAGACGCTGAACTGCAGGCTGTGGAAGGTCAGTAGTTCAGCAGTTCGAGACCCGGGTGCCACATGATGGAGTGAGCTCCCATCTCTAGTTCCAGCTCCTGCCAACCTAGCAGTTCAAAAGCAAGAAATTGCAAGTAGATAAATAGGTACCACTTCAGTGGGAAGGTAACAGCGTTCCGTGCGCTTTGGTGTTTAGTCATGCCGGCCACATGACCACGGAAACGTCTTCGGACAGCGCTGGCTCTTCGGCTTTGAAATGGATATGAGCACCGCAACCCTAGAGTCGGATTCGACTGGCTTTCGAGCAAGGGAACCTTTACCTTTAGAGAAACATACAGAAGAGTGTAGTAATAACTCTGCTTAGGATGGCACTGGTTGTAACCAGGACTGACCTAGAAATAGACCTAGAAGCAGATTTACTGCCACATCAACTTCCCACTGAGCCTTGTTTTAGCAGTCTAGCATATGTCATAGGGTTGTCAACTGCCAGGTGGTGGCTGGAGATTTCCTAGGATTACAACTGCTCTCCAGCTGATAGAGGTCAGTTTCCCTGGAGAAAATGACCACTTTGGAAGGTGAACTCTATGGCATTATAGCCCACTGAAGTCTCACCCTTCCTCAAATCTTTCTGTTCTGCCATCTCCTGGGATAGCAATGTCAATGATCTAAACCCAAGTCCTTATCTATTCTCCCCCCATGGGATGTTAGCTTGGCATGTTGATGGGGCTTGTTTGCTCTGGTGAAGCAGAGGGCTATGCTATTGGCGGCAGCAGAGCTGCTGGCAGGGTCTCCCAAGGCAGACAGGCCTCTGCTAAGGAGTCAGACTAAATGCATCCCAAATCCACATTCAATCTGGTGAGAAAATCAAATTTGAAGTCTATACCTGCTTGGTTGTCACCCAGGTTAACAAGGACAGTGATAGAGATTGGTGTTCCTGGAATTTTGGTTAAAACTGGGCTACAGGACACAGGCCTTTCTGTTGGGCAACCAGGGCAGAAGCCTGATGTACTACTGGAATCAGGATCTTTTACAAAGCAACCAGAGCAGGGACTTGATCAGCTACTGGAAAACCAGCAATGTCGAAAAAAATAGTCTCAAAAACAATTTATTTAGAACTAGCCTGCTACCCGTGCTTCGCTACGGTATTTAAGTTATAATACTGATGATGTGACATTTGTTGTAGGAATTCTAACAGAGAAGATTGTAGTGTAAGAAATGAAGTGAGACATACGTACTTTCCCCCCCTTTACTGAAGAATCTCTCTCTAGACCACATTGGTGGTTCTGCCCTCAGGTGCTAGGATCACCAGGCTGCTTGATGAGCTCATTCTGGAGCAGGTCACATAGAACTGTCCATTTAAGAAGCAGTCATCATCTGTTAAGTCAACTCCTGCTACCTTCCACGAAAGTGATGGCCTCTCTACTTGTGTTCCTGGATTGCTTTGCTCATATGGAGACTGTGTTGGTCTGAGCACCTCAGGGTGATCTTGCTGGCACTTGGCCTGTGCAGCTCAGTGCTCTGCAGGAGTACTATGTGCAAATGTCTTTGCCGCATTCCTAAGTTGCCTCCTCCTTGTAGCATTGGTGTATCTGGCTCGGCATTTGCCAGGAGCTTTCTTGGGGGCAGTAAGAGGTGAGAGGTGTGAGGGGGAGTTAGTGTGAGGGAGTGGTGATGTGGTGGACATTTCTTCAGGTTCATGAGGGAGGCACGCATCGAAATGGCTTCTAGAAATGTCCTTTACTATCTCCCCATAAACATTCATACCCTGGCCCTGCTCCTACACCTCCTGGTGTTGGGGGGGATTGTATTTAAAGGCATTGGGGAGCCTGGGCCAGCAGCAGTGCTAAGGCAATTCTGCTGAGCAAACCTCCCCGGTGGCTGTAAGCATCCCCCCTCCCCATCCTACACCTGACAGGCAGCTGTCCAGTGTAGGGCGGGGAGGGGGGAGGAGTATTATAAACCACTGTGGAGGTGGGGCTGGCAGGATCACTGAGGCATTACTGCTGGGGCAGGCTCCCTCATGGCTTTAAGCACCCTGCAACCACTGCTGCACCTAACAGACAGCTGCCTGTTAGGTGTAGGAGGTGGGGGAGTGTGTTGGAAGTCATCCCACCTCCTCTTCTACACCTGACAGGCAGCTGCCTGTCCAGTGTAGGAGGAGGAGGAGTATTAGAAGCCACTGTGGAGGTGGGGCTGCATCTGACAGACAACCGCCTGTTAGGAGTAGGAGGTGGGGAAAGTGTGTTGGAAGCCATCAGAGAAGCTGGGCCAGCAGCTTTGCTTCACCTCACAGGTGGTTCTTGGCCATTAGTTCTCTGCAGTCCCCTGTAACTGTTGGGGTTTTTTTACCTCAGAACATTG